CATAATAACTGATTGTCTTGGGAATTTACAGGACTTCTCATCCTACTTCCAAATATTACGACAATCGAGCCGACCGACGACCACAGCGGAGAGACAACAAATATCGCCTTCTGATCTCTGGAGTATCCTAAAATTGTGGTGGACAATACCGAAGAGATAACCTCCAAGTAACCAGTGATTATCTATAACATTGACAATACTATTTTGTGCTATGACGTATAACTTTTCATACATGTGTATCATAATATCCGTTTTCTTGTAAATTGTACGTAGTTTGTCATTTTGGTTTACTTGACATTTTTTGGGTCCACTACACTGGTTGCAGTATTCAATTGAAAACAACAATAACATCGACTCATGAACTTGCGAGAGTTTAATCACGTCAGGCTCACCAGTTTGTCGAGCTCTGAAATATGACTCCAAAATTTATATACACGTCCAGATACACTATCGCCTATTTATAATTCCCGACACTGCTGATCCACCTGCGTCAGACAGTGTAAATATCAGGAGCTAACGCGAAGCATATCTCAGGATGTTGTATTGGTCAACGAGCGAGTGAAAAGTCTTTTTCAGTACAACTAAACAAAAAATGTTCAATGAGTTGTTACATATATCAACACAATACAGTGAAATAAAATGCTACAACTTGAGACCACTTGCGTTCTTGTAGGATATATAAAGGATCTCGTGCACCAAATTGTTAATTGCCTCTTCGCGTTCTGTACTCATATTTGTTTATTGCCTCATAAGTGTGATTCAATGAATTTCGAATTACTGCGGAGTTTAACCAAACTATTATTATGATGTAGATATTCCGCGGCTTTAAGCTTAGAAGATATCATTAATCAGAGAATTTTTGATAAACTATCTGATGCTCGTGTCACCGTCTCTCTCTATCTATCTATCTATCTATCTAAGGTGAATTATCCCCAACAAGGCATGTAACACTTTTTTAACATTTCTTCCTCCTGAGAAATACGAGTGAAATTCATGCCGGTGAATAACTGACTTGTGCAGAAACTGTGTATCCATCGCAGCATCTCGATTTCAAGAACCTATGTTGGCACGGTGGGATTATGTTGTTACTAGACGTGTGCTGGAGAACATATTCCTTAATAACTTCCTCCAGAATTCTAGAAGTCATCGGCCTGAAATTTATCGGTCAATCGATAGTGGCTAGTATTTTGAACTAGATTTACATCTAGGCATGAAGAATTATGTTTTTCAAAGATCAAAATACGTGAAGGATTCTAAAATTTCCGGTTCCAGATAACCAACTGTAAATATGTAGCAGAATATTTTACCCATACCTATCGGATTATTGTGGGCCCCTTTGTAGTTAAAAAGAAAAGTAATGTTATGTCTTGTGCAGTTCGACCGCTTCTTAAGTAGTTCGGAAGGAGTATATGTTCTAGATTACTTAGCTAGCATGCTGCTTCCATCTTTTGCATATCTTGGCTACGCGAGATAGAGTTTAGAACACTAAGAATCAACCAGAGTTGATTGAAGTCAAGGTGACGGTATCATCTGCTCAGAGTTCGCGTAACTTTCTGCGGGCACCGATATATATATATATATATATATATATATATATATATATATATATATATATATATACCTAATTGTTAAGGAGTAGGTTCTTGAAACAGTTTGAGCCGATTAACCATGTAACTTCCAGGCTCTCACCGCAAAGACAGCTTGATTCTGACTCTGAAATAAGCAAAAGTGCCTTTGTTCTCGATGTGAATTATATTTATATATAAGTTACATTTTCTCATCAGTTTCGCTAACATAGTTTATGATTCTGTCAGAGCATGCTGTCAATCATTCAAGATAAAGTGATTAGGAGTCTTCTTTAAGAAATGTACCGGTGAAGTAAGCCTTTCGACCTAATGAAATATAAACGAGCTGAAAATAAATGTTGAGTGAAACAGTTACGTCTTCTCTAATCTTGAGAAACAATTGTAAATCGTGTGGGTTGTAGTGGACCCAAAGAATGTCAAGTAAACCAAAATGACAAACTACGTACAATTTACAAGAAAACGGATATTATGATACACATGTATGAAAAGTTATACGTCATAGCACAAAATAGTATTGTCAATGTTATAGATAATCACTGGTTACTTGGAGGTTATCTCTTCGGTATTGTCCACCACAATTTTAGGATACTCCAGAGATCAGAAGGCGATATTTGTTGTCTCTCCGCTGTGGTCGTCGGTCGGCTCGATTGTCGTAATATTTGGAAGTAGGATGAGAAGTCCTGTAAATTCCCAAGACAATCAGTTATTATGCACGACAGGCAATAGTCACGGAGGCAGAAGTCGGAATGGTTAGAAGCACATTTTATTTCCACGATTAGCAGCAGCAAAAGATGCAATTACCGCCACAACCAAAGAAGTGTATATATAAACAACATTCGTTTTTACAAGTATTAGGAATAATGTACAGAATGTGTAAAAGAAACGACGAAACTGAAATATTGCTTATAGTTGAAGTGGTTTATACACAATTGTATGCAGTCTCCACAGGGTATACTCTATATCGCATACATAATGTGTTTAAACATAGAATGGGAGCAACTTTTGGACTGAAAAGCGTTGTTGTTATGGTTTACTGATGTTGGTGGAATGATTTTGTGGGAGCAATAAAAGTAACAATATGTTTGCTTCATTTTGAGCCACTCCCATTTTACGGTACAGAATTCTTGGCATAAGATGTTGCATAATTTTACCGTTTGTATATTATTTTTCAAATATGCATCAAAAATGGAGTAGTTCAACGAAAGATATGAAAGAACAATGACTACTGAAATGTTGAATGACTTCGAGGGCACAGTAATTGTAAGGTGTTGAGAAGTTAGTAGATAAGACTGTGCTTAACGTGGCTTCCTTTACACAATACTGAATTAGGTGTAGTTGAATTTTTTTTTATATGTCGTTGTGCATCCCCATAGTTTAACGTATTTGATTTTTGTCTTCACAGGGGACAGACATAGGGAGGCGTGAGGGTGCATGTCATCAGATGAAATATTTTTAGCCTGCAGTCTACAATAGTTCCGGTGCCTAGCCATGCTGCACCATTTGCGCTACTAAAGGCTTTCAAAATCCGACGCAATACAGCTTAGAGTTTGTTTTTGAAATCGATGAACAAGCATAGGCAAAACACAGGAATTTAAGAAACGTAAGAGTAGTAGAGGCTGAGTTATGCCGGACAGTCTGAGCTTTCCTATATAAAAAACCAAGAGATTGATTTTGCTAGAAATCAGTGAGGTATAAGGGGACTAAGAGAGATCAAAAGAGGAGCATAACCCACGACGGATCACAGTTGATACATTCTATCTGTTGTAGGGAATGTATCAATACCGGGAAAAATGTCACAGTGTTGGGTGCAAGAACGCGGAAGCTATCGGGTAGGATTAGATTTCGAAAATAGGTTTGTTGAGTTAAGGAATAAATTTCACTTAAATCAATCCAAATTTAGAAGCTGAGGCGTCTCCCTACACCAAGGAAGAAAGACAAAGTGGCAGGCAGCAATAAGAAGGAAGTCCAACAATTAGTTTTTTCATCTTTATACGTATTTCTGCATGTCCTGACATTTTCGGCCGTTCCGTTATTTGTACCTGCTAAATTTATTGCACAAATAGCCACTTACTTTACATGTTTCTTTATATGACATTTTAAGATTTGCGTATGAGTTTTAGTAGTGGGTGAGAAGTCCGTGCTATTTAGTATGGAACGAGAAGTGAGCAGTTAGTATTCAAAGCCTCCAGAGAATATGATTTTATGGGTATCAAGTTAAATATAGCGGTTAGTTGGGTGACCTTTACTTCAATAGGGAGTCGGCCTAACATTTGAGGGAACTTTGGACTGAAAAATTTTACGTAACTGAAACAGTTAAGAGGCTTCAGTGCGACACCGTAGGTTTAGTTGCATAGACTGTTGCAACTGTCCTGTTCGAAATGAGATTCAACGCTGACTTTACAAGTTAATTTGCATGTCACAATGAAGAAAAGTGTAGGATTATTCTTGATTTGTCTCATCCAAAGTGGTTCTGGATTTAGAGTCTTGTATCTTCACTCGTGGTCCCGTTTGCTTTCATGTCCTAGTAATCTAGCACTATATTCTTTCGGTTACCTGATATATATATATATATATATATATATATATATATATATATATATATATATATATATATATATATATACAACAGCCTAGATTATTTCCGGATCAGCATACCTTAGTGCTCTTCACCTCTTCAAACAATCTGGTATTTTGCGTGTTTCTTTGCGAGCCTTTTTAGAAACTTCGAAGCGAAATGATCAGTTGCAAAATGCTTTACGGACTTACGGCTGCTTGTGAAGATTTTAGTTTGGAGGGGGCTCTTAACACTAGTTTCAAATTGCTTTCACAGTACAGCACGTAGAGATTGACAACAGATTATGTTAAGATAAGGATCGTTCTGATGTTGTGCTATATGCTTGCAGATCTTGTATACAAACTTGATGTTCATGACTTGAAGTGAAACAGCTACCAGATAGCTGGAAGTTTTTAGCACCGTCCGGTTACAGCTATTCAGTGATCGACACTTATTTGTATTGGTGTCGACTGTCGTAATAGTAAGCGATGTCAAATCTTACATTTAGGTTTAACGCTGACTGTAGAGAAGAAGACGGGGAGCAATTATGCAGAAAACCGATCTTTTGGGGATTATTTAGCCTTTATTCTTGTTTATGAGACTTACTCATCAGCAAATCTACAAATGTCTCACTTGTTATAGTAAAGATTGATGACGGGCTTATGCACCTTTCCACTGTCGCATTTGAACTGAAGTCTTTGTGGAATGTGACACTTTATCTAAAATTCCATTGTTTATTTTGAAACAAGGAACTAGTTAGTGTATATTCTATTTAGTTTGAAATTAGTATCTGAATGGAGACTAGCTATGGCCAGAATTTCACCTCATATCAAATTTACAGCTAGTCAAACTAAAAATACCATAATGCAAGTTTGATGTGACAGTAAAACTTAAGTGATCTGGTCCCATATTAGATTTGTCGACTTGATGTACCCCCTGGTGATACAGCATTATCCAGTAGGTAATATTAGTATGCAAACAAACAAATTCAGTTTGGCATTTAAATCCATTTTTTAATTCTAAAAAATTCTTTATGTTCCATACATTTAAATCTAACTCCATGACTTAAAAATAAGAACTACTGAACAGCTGAAAGTGTAATAAGTAAAGAATGACAGTCGCTAGGATGACTTTTTAGTTTTATTGTATGCTTATTCAACAAGTTGTTTTGAAAATCACTGAACCGATTAACTAAGGGGATACGGAAACCTTTTAAAAATCAGAAGGCTTTTCATACTCTCTTCTGTTTTCAAAGTTTTCAGTTATCCACTGAAAACTTCTCTGTGAGCTATTGGTGTGACAGCAATGTTACAGCACTGAATTAGTGTCTGTCGTTAACGCAAGTGATGGAAATCTGTTTCTGGAGATGTTTTACTCAGCATCTTATATAACTATAAAGGAGTTGAAATTCGCGGTTTCAAAATGAGAGAAACTGATATTCTCACACTTCAAAGGCTGAGACTCATCACCCGAACGAAGCTTCGTTCCGGCCGTAGTCCAAATTCTCATTTTATCTTCAATCATTACTCAGTATCAATACTAGTCTGCTAAATCACGACTATTTCAGATAGTCAAAAACTTGATAAGGTGCTAAATTGCAGCATAATCCAAGTTCATAGAACAATGAAAAACCCATAGCATTATAAAATGTTCACTCAAAACTTAACGTCCAACAACAATAATACATATACATATATTAAGAAACCTCATGAAATGCTAAACAAAACAAATAATGGTAATAATCAAAATTATTTTAGTGTCATGATGCACATATTGTTGTGAGGTATTATTTCTAATCTCTTAATAGAATAAAAATGCATGAGTAATAACAGTAATACTATAAGTGAGAATTTATACAGAAGTTTCGCGTTGGGAATCCGATTTTACCTCACTGTCGTTCACTTTCTGTTAATTTAAAGCTTGAGAAGGAAATAAAAATATTTCGTTGTTTACAAAAACTGTATCTTTTTAAGTTATGGTTGATAAAATAAACGTATTGACCATTAAAATGACAGTTAACATACTAACAGTATTATTACTGGTAGTAGTAATAGTAATAAGCATAATAGTTTAAGATCTCAGAAGGGGATGAATTTGCACACACGAAACGTAATACGAAGGCGAATAGATTTAACTCAAAAAAAAATGAAAGCAATCACTAATTGATAAAACAGGTTAACTGATCTAACATTGCACAATATACAGAGTATTCGCAAATCGGGTTAAAAATCTGAAGTAAGAGTCAATATCATAGACTTTTGTAGGGAATTTTAGATTGATCATAAAAGTGACGCTATTATTCTGTCTTTTCATTTTTTTTGGTGAGACGTTTTAGATTCTTCATTTATTTCATCCATACTTAACTGTAAGCTACCTTCTAAAAGTATAGAAGCAATGTTGTCTAATTGATCCATGATACCTCTTTGAAGCCATTTCGGTATAGTAACACGTGCTTTTCGAAAACCAACACTCTCTAGTAGACGGTCAAATGCTGGTACACCGATATTAGTAGCTAAAAGCCAGCGACATTCGGGACTTAACGACCAATGGATTATATCATAAACACGAGCATCCTGTACCATAGGCGAACTAGTTGTTGAAAGAGCACGTAGTCGACTAATAATATCTTCTGATATAACATCAGTCTGAATGTAGCATTCGAATGACTTTGGTTTATATCATTTGCATTCCAACTTGCTGCACTAGAAACTTGATTCCAAATGAAATAACAGGTGGAACAATTTTTTAGTAACAGATATTTACAAATAATATAAATTTAAGTGAATAAACACAAGAGTTGAAGAAACAGTTGTTATACAACGCTTACTACAAAACTGTAACACATCACGCTGAAATCGATTATAAACGAGATTAACAGAATAACTATTCCAAACTCCAAAAATGTTTCAATTCTTGCCAATTAACTAGTTGTTCAGCAATAGTGAGAACACTCGTAGTGCTGGAGGATACTACACTATGTATGGCAATTTGAAAGCATCAAACAGTGAAACCGAACATATTAACTGGAAAAATAAACTGTTAGGTGATGAAGAGCAATTGGTAAATATCTCCGAATCAAAGAACTTATATCGACAATCATCAGTAGGGTATACTCATAACCTTGAAGGTATCGTGTCGTAACTTGTGTCTTGCAGCGATATGTAGTCAGAGAAGCTACTTAGACAGCGGTTAGCCTACTGTACAACTGGATAAGATACTGCGATTTCTCATTGCAGTGTCATCAATTTCATGTTTTCTAGTCCAAAGTATTGATCGAACTCTGTAGATCATTCTGTTTCATCAGTACCAACTTGTGATGAAAACTACCTTCAAAATGAAATATGTTAGCTTTTCAAAACAGTTTGAAAATAATAATGGAGTTAAATAAATAGTTAAGGAGAATGTTTGAAGATATACAAGGTTGATATCAGTCTACACATGTAGAAGAAATTCAATTTAAGCGATTTACATAAAAAAAAATGAAAGCACTAAACTAATTTATTTTTTCTCTATTCACCTTTCCTATTTTAAATGTACACAGGTATGTTCTACGTAAATATATAAAACATGGGTTGAGTGGAGACTGTATGACGTTTCAACTTGACCACAGATGATGTTAAGACTGACATCACTAGTCCTAACCACGAAATTCCAAGTCTAGATAGTCGAAGAACATCTATGACTCTATTTGCAAATATCTACATAGTATTACTGAGAAACTATGCGAATCTTCCCAACCTGGACGAATTAACAAGAAACTTCTATTGATAATTTACTTGATTGTAGCTAGCAGAGGAATCCAAGTGCCATTTGGTACTTGTCAGAGGTGGCTATCGTGCCTCAGTGACCTAGTGGATAATGCTTCGGCTTTTGAAGTGATAGATACGAGGTTTGAGTCTCAGTGGGAACAACATCACTTACTAGTGCACAGGTACATCCAGCTAACGAATCCCAAATAGGGTAAAACGCGCGTCCTGGATTCCTCTGTTAGCCACAACCAAGTAAATTATCATAATAAATGTTCACGTAATATCGAGGCGCCCACATAGGAGCCCATATGCCAATAGAAATAGAATAACTCGATCCAGTTAAACAACGGAGGATTACAAGCATATTAACAGATAGTAAAACCGTCGAATAATCTCACAAGAAAGTATGATCAAACTAACTGACAAATCGTACAATTTAAAGATGTGCTCTGGCCACTTAAAGTTATATTGGAGACAGTATGTCTGATAATGACTCAAGAAGAATGACTTCAAGCTGATTTTCAACATAAACTAGTGGAACTTAAAAAGAGACTGAAATTCAGTCTCACCATAGTAGGAGACCTTCGATTAATTCAAGAATGATGGCCTTCATATCCCACATAAGCCAGAGAAAATAATCTACTTATAGCTACATTTCCATATAAGATTTTTTAAATTTGAATTATAACACAGTGATGAATATTGTTTCAGAACTTACAGAACTAAGATATCGGTTGGTGAGATCATATTAGGTGTACAGTTGTGTCTGACCTCCAGACTTTAAGTTTCACGACAGACAAACAGAAGGAGTAGCAATGGGATCACCAACATCCCCAATCGTAGTAGATATACTTACGGTTAGTTGGGGAAACATGGGTTTACAAACATTTAATCCTGCACCAAAAATATGGTGAGGATATGTGGATGACACATCTACTGTGTTGAAAAAGGGAAATATCGACAGTTTCTTCATGCATAAAAAACTCAATAGTGGACGCAATCCAATTCACTTACGAGGTAGAAAACGAACAAGGAGAATCACCTATGTTGGATTGCAGGATAAAGGAAGGACAGATAGTGGTTTGGATACTACGTCTACAGAAAACTAACACATCCCAACAGGTATCTAAACTTCAAGTCATCTGATCCAATGTCAGTCAAATGTCCCAAATAATAGGGCTAGAAAATTGTCTAGTCCGTGCAAGGACCTAAACAAGGAACTGAAGCACGTAAAAGAAGCGCTAAGAGTTAATAATTATCGTCCGCAGTTTATTAAGAAATTCATACAAACACACAAGAAACGAAATAATAACAATAACATGAGTACAAATAATAATAATAATAATAATAATAATAATAACATGAGTAGAAAGGAGTTCACAGCCTCCTTTATGTTACCCTATAAGGAAGGTACATCAGAAACTTCACATAGGGTTCTCAACAAAGCTGGAATTAGGGTGGCTTGTCAGCTTAAGAATTCGATAGAACCAATACAGCAAAATAATCTAACCTACTTAATTACATGTAATGACTGCAAAGTCAAGCATATAAGTCAAACTAGCAGGTTGGGGTCAATTAAAATAGCGGAACATAGGAATTTAGCTAAATATAGAATGATAAACCCGAATAAGATTAATAATCTAGAAAAAAAAACTCGGCTATCGTAATGCATGCATTAACACACAATTGGCTGGGTGGGATAAAACCACTGAACTAAGGTCCAATATAATTGTGTACAGAGAGATTGACTACTGAATCTTTGTTCATGGAATCAACACCCAGTCAACACATGTAACAGAAATGATGTAACATCTATACCAGAGATATGGAAGATTTTGCTACCAATATAAAAAAAGAATAAGAGGTGACAAGACTATAACAAGCAGACGTCGAAATTAGTGTGATAATATTGATATGATTACGAGCGATACTTTATACTCGAAACGTCATGAAATAGTACTGTACCACTGTGTTATAAATCAAATAAAGAAATCTAATATGGAATTAAATTCTACCACAGTGCCCAAGTTTTACACTTTTGTTACTAATTTCAATTATTCTGTGATACGGAGAGATTCCCTCGATGTCATCGGGAGGTACTTCCACGCAGAATAACGATTACCTGTAGAAGGGTATCACAACTTCCGATGAGATATTCAAGCATTACTTAATTATTCTGAAAGATCTATCCCGCTAAATCGATAGCTTTCTGAAAAATATCAGAACCTAAATATTATCGATAATTATTATATGAGGAATGAATGCATAGACATCAAAACTCACGTTCATAATCGTTTAATCTTTCATCCAAATATGAACTTATCAGACTTGGTAACCATGGTACATCAATAAGTCCAAGTTGAACAAAGCCATGAAAATCAGTTTGAAAACTGACTTTTACTGATGGCACAGAACTGGGTGAATTCACATATACATCTCCTGAATTATCTTTTTTAGACGATGGTTTTGATTGAGGAAGTAACAAACTTCCTTTTGAATGCCGTACTAGAGAATTAGTCCGGTTCACATTCTTAGATGTATTATCAGATTTGGGTTCATTAGCAGTTAACGATGTTGGTACAACAGATGGAAGACTAGACAAAGTTGGTCGAGACATCGTTTGACGTTGATCAGTAGTGATACGTAGAGCAAGTGAAGGCAAAATAAACAACAACTCGCCTTCATTCGGTGGCTTTAAAGGATTAGAACGTACAGATACACTAGGTCGTTCTTCTTTTAGCAAATCTTTACCAACATTTACTGATTCATTATTACCAGTGTTAGTGGTAGCACGGTTATTATTACCAGATTCTAGAGGATTATTATCATCTTCATTCACAGGGGTCAATACATCACGAGTAGGACAAATGACTGACTGTCCAGACTTCGTGGAATTCAATACATTAAATGCAGGGAGAGAGCTTTCTTGGCTATTAATTTGTGAAAAGCTTACTGGGAAATGCGCCACTACAAAAAGAAACAATAATGAAATATAGATAGTATACAAGGTTAATCATATATGAATTTTGATGATAACGATTTCTGATCGAAATTATGCAGTTGATATGCATAATTATAATAAGTGAATATAAACTGTTCGGTATAACATATAAATTTTACAATTTTTTTTGCATTTCTTTTGAGAGCAGTGGTAACTCCACAAAGTTGTGCTGGAAACAACATTATCTAGTAAGTAATGCTGCATCATTACATGATCTATTTAACAAACAAATTAACATAGATTTATCCTATACAAAATTATTAACATTTTACTTCTGTATATTTCTATTCTTATCGGATATATGAAAGTTTGCGTTGAAGACTGATCTATTTCACTACCATCCAAAATATGAGTAGAGCAATATCAAGAAAAACCTAACTCATAGATAGGATAGAGACAGCAGCAACGTCATCATTAGGTTAATGATTTGATACACATAATCATGTACAATCTTCTTCAGGGATTCAGCGTCAGCATCTTTAGATACAATTTGTTCAAAAACGATACCACTTTATGAATATGAGAGAACTTGAGTACTTTGGTAGTATATAACTTCAAGTTTATTTGTTCGCTGGATATTTCACAAAGTGAGACAGTATTATGCAACGAAAAACATTTCAGGTACAATTCTCCCATGCATTTGCTTGGAGGCAATCGGCAAGAGCCCTAGAACTAGTTTTCCTGTTTGGTGACACTCGTCAGCAAGGCGTATCCGCAACCTCGATGGGACTGATGTCCCGCCTGAGATTCGAACCCATGTCACCCAGTGTTGCAATTAGCGACTTTACCACTGGGCTATTCGGGGAGCGACTGGCCTCCTGTAGAATTGGGTCGGTCACGGAAGTGCAACCAATCGATAGGATTCGGTCTGCACTCAGGAGTAGATAACATGAAATTGGTTGCAATCCCGTGACCAATCAATACAATATTGCCATGTCTTAATAGTTTTATTTCTTCTTTCGTTTGGGTAATATAATGGGGAAGAAAAGAACTGTTAAAGTGGAGTGAAAAAATGAGCAGTAAAAAAGATAGAATTATTAATGTAATATATCAAGCTAGAAAAAACCTATTATCTATCGGAGCCTCGTAGTTCAATAAGTAGAAACCCAGGTTGGTAAGTTCGGAGATCACTGGTCCGAATCCTAGAGTAAAACCAGATTTCCATTTCACCTTCAATCACCAATCCATATCAACAATACCAGTCTGCCAACTCACATAATCAACAATGAAAGGAATTATGCTCAAAATACCCCACTCATAAATATGTTAAATAATTAAAAACATACTCTTGGGACTTACATTGTATGACTGAACTGACACCTGATGGATTACTATGTCGAACAAAATTGACCACTGGAATTTGCGAAAAGGAAAGAATACGAGTGATATATGTAGTAGAACTAAAATGTAAATGTTCGGAAGATGACTCCAAACCAAATATCATTAACGTCTATGCTGAAATATAATACCTTCAACTTCCCAAATACCTAAACATCATTGAACTTTAATGCGTGTACATTTATTTGAGTATCCTGGTACAATGTATTAACTACGTTGAAGATGAAACAAAACGCATTCAGTCACCTTGTGCACATTCGTGTAATAGGCAATGAACCACACCTATTGTGTGAATTCTAGTGATACTGTAGAATACGCGAAGGTGGAGAAGAAGGAAGGAATATTTATTATTGACATCTTGTACATTAGTCATCGAATATTGTACACTTCCCACTAAGAAAGGCATTTGCATAATGTGCTTCATTTCCTCTTCTGCTTCTATCTTGATTTGCTCTTAATACGCCCACGTTATCTCTTGCGTTTATCTGGGTAGAATTCTTACCCATTGCTAGTAATTCCCTATGATTTCTACCGTACTCTCAATATATACTACTTATATCCATTCTGATCAGCAACGTCCACTACAATACTGCTTGGCTGCCAAATCGATGAAGTCCCTAACTATTGATCTAAATTGTGTGGGGAGATGCAAAAGGCCCGGTTGGGGTCCTAGAGATGATAGGAATCAGTGGTTGAAAACTCTTGATGACACGGCTGAAAATCGGTCACAGTAGTAAAGATGTACGTATTCACTTCTTAGCATCTTCCAAAGCTTGAATAATCGCACTTACTTTTATCTTCAGATTGTTTATTATCTTACAATACTTTATCTACTATGATATCACTCCTTTTCTATCTACCTGATCCTTGTGAACTATTGTGAAGTGTGGCAACTTGAGCCGATGCACCTGTGTGGGAGTTTATGCATTGATTTTGTCAGTGTCACCCAAACCTCGGTAGGCGGAGCAGGGCTCAAACCCATGACTCAATGGTTGATAATCATCTCTCAAATTACTGGCGGATAAAATATTAAGGGAATTGAGAAGAATCTCGACGTTGAAATTAGATTACAGTAGTAATTTCATCTTTGCAACCAAGCGTCACAGGTTTTCAAAACAAGATAAACGAAGTTTAGAACTAAGAAGGAGTGGGGGAAATCAAATCTAGTTGATACCATTAAGTCACCGATTTAAAAAGTTGCTAGGGTCAGTAGGTTGGCTTAAGTGATCATAAGCATCGTCACAGTGGTTAGAATAACAGTAATAATGATAATAATAATCGGATCAATAATACTTCATAATAAAGCATTTCTTTCTCCACTTGTTTGATTCTTCTGACTGGTTTCGAAATGATGAGACCCCAAGAAATAAAATGAAGTTATCTGATTTTTGTACAGCTCTTTTGATTTTATCACTCAGATTTATTGGAACAACAAAATGTGAGGTATCGCATAACTTGAAAATCTGGGTTTCATATAGACATTGCCAGGAGTGCTGCTGTGGATTACAATTCCTACCATAATGGGAACATGTTACAGTGGTAAACCTCAAAGATAAGTCAATTTCAGTCTAGGTCACCCCAGTTGCCCGGTAACAAACACCTAGATAAATAGTTTTCAGTTAAGAAATCATCCAGAACAAAAAATTACACGAAATGTTCGATAGATGATAATTAACCGTACTCCAATTTCCTGTGTTAATCGAAGACTACCGACTGTCTACAATGAGATCGGTAAGCTAAATTGGACAATATGACATCTCACTTCGTTTGGTTATAGATTTTGAAGTCAATTAGCAGGAAATCTTGAATCTACGTTCCATGTTTATTGAAACGCACTCGAAAATGAACTACTCAGCAAAATCAAAGAATTTAGTATGACCAAAAGGCCTATTCATGACCTCAATAGCTTATCGACAAAGCTGTCGAATTTTGTAGAATAATGCAAGTTGTTAATTACCGATGCAATCCGGAGATTGCTAGTAAATGCCAACAATTCGATAACTTAGATTGACGGCTTCCTTAGAGCCTTTAACATCAAAAATACGCGTACGACATCGGTAAATTCAAATAAAAGATAGCGACGTAAGTAACATGAGTTCAGCTGTGAAAAAAACACATGTGATTTCATTCTCAAGTGAGTTATATACACTTGTTCCAAAAACAGCTTTAGTTTCAATGATAATAACATCTGAAGCAGTAACTTTACTTCATGTCTTCTTACGGCCTTTACTACCCATTTTTGTTCCACTAAAAAATATTGGATTTTAGGTGTAGTTTGAACGAGTTTTCGCCAGTTATCACTGACTCACTCAATTTTGCTACCAAAATTCTTACTAGTTTTATCGTCACCACTAATCTGAAAGTAATGATACATTCCAAGAATTTTGCCAGGTAACTAGAGAATAAAAAAGCTGATAAATTCAAATATCTATTTCATAGCTTATAGTAAGTGCAAAACATCTAAGTTATGAAGTAGATATTTGAATTTATCAGCTTTTTAATTCGCTAGTTACGTGGCGAAATTCTTGGATTGTATCATTACTTTGAGATGAGTGGTGACTTACAGTAACTTAAAGTTAGTGCGAAACAACGTAACACAGAAGTCAGGTGTTGAGTTATAGGGAGAAGAGGTAAGTCAGTTGATGGAGATATGAACTTTCGTCGACTGAGATGGCTGGGACATGCGTTACGCATGCCTAGCCACCTTCTGCATCGTAGCGCAATGTTGGCCAAAGTAGGTTCAGGCTGGAAGAAGGCTCAGAGCGGCTGGACTAAAATACAGCATCAATGCATGAAGTCCTTGACTACTGATTTGAGCCATGTAGGGCGATGCGGATTAGCCGGTAGGACAAGAGAATCCAGTGGTTGGAGACTTTCGGTGATACGGCTCAGAACCAATGTTAGTGGCACAGATGCACACACACATTATCCTCACATTAACCGCTATTCTCAATCTCATCATTCTTCCTTCTTATCTCTTACTGCTTTCGACCTCTACTTCCTTTGACCAATTTTTCTCTCTTCATCTTCCATTTTATTACCTTGTTACTTGATGGGCTGATAAGAGGTGTGACAACTTGGACCGTTTCGCAGTAATCCCTAATCCCACGTTGATCTTGACGATGATGAGTGCAAAACAATCAATTACATTGTTATATTTAATGAAATAATAGAAATTAAATACACATACCTGTATTATCTGCACCACGAAAACTAAATTCTAGCCATTCTTCAATAGTTGCAATTGGTAAATCCTTTAAATTCTGTGGTTTCCCTCTTCTAACACGAAGTACATAAGCCATTTGAGGTTGGAACTCTGGAGGTGAGCCTAGTTCAAAACTCAAAACTTGTCGGACATTTATCCATCCATCTACCTCACTTAGATCAAGATTCATCTCCTCATCAACCATTGGAAGTTCTCTCTGAGCTTCAGTTTCAAAGCTAAATGCACAAAATGAAAAAGTAAAGAGGCCGCAACAATTTAAACATGTGACTCACAATACTAAAACAAAGAAGAAAATACGCACAAATATCATGGAATGTCAGAACTTTGCCACGAAGCAGGCCTCCCCATGAGAACAGCTATATTTTCTTCACGAGTATCTATGCTAGTATGTTCTACCGACTAGTGCCATATGCAGATCACCTATTGACTGTCCAATGGGCTGGAAAACAGTGAGAAGAAGTAAAAGATACAAAGTACAGCTGATGAACACCGATGCTCATTATCGGATTCAGAAACACCAACAGATGATAGACAGCCAAAAGAGAAAACTTCAGTGAAAACTCACAACAGAACGCCTTACCAACATTGGCAACTGAGATAGGAAAACCAATCAGACGACACAAAGAACAGAGAAGAAACAGCCTTTGAGAGAAGTTATTCAAAACCTCAAAACCATGAGCATCAGAAGGTGAGGAGGTGAATAACCACGTAGTTAACCTGTTCAAACAACCTCTGACCAAATCTGAGGAGCTTCTGCTTCAGAAAGCACTGCGTTACAATACGGGAGATACTTTAGGACCAGAATTCTTCGTCTCTCTAGAGTGATAACTGAGGAATCATGACTAGAAAATAAGACTGAACAGGAAATACGACAAATAATTGCGCCTTTGATCAGACAGAAATAAAACTGTACTCAAATAACCAAAGAAGAACAGAAATCCCTCAAGAAGCTGAAGAATAAAGAGGATATAGTTATATTTCCAGCTGACAAAGGATGCAACACAGCACCACAGGATAACGACGAATATAAATCAAAAGGGTGGAAGACTTGCTCATTGACCGAAATGTATATCTACCAACTGAGAGAAATCCCATTAAAACGTTTGACTCACATATCAGCAAAAGCTTAAACAAAATCATCAGAGCGGGACAAATCACAAAACAAGACTAATAGTGGGTGAAATTCAAAGAACCCATTCTTCTACGCTTCTATGGTAGACCAGAAACACAAAGTAAACATTCTTCTGCGACCAACTGTTTCACTTCCATGGACTCCAAGATACAATCTGTCAAAAGATATCTTCAAAAAACTAAAACACTTGGTAGAATTATGTGACTACTCTATCAATTTTCCGACACCACTTTTAGACAAAATCGAGCATATTGACAACGACGAACTGACCGTGTCATTCAACACTACAGCTCTATACACCTCAATTGAGCAAAGTCTAGCTAAACATACAATGACTCTTCTCGACATCCATGACACACATATCTCGGTACACACATTACGATGTTTGATAGAGTTAATTGATTTATGTTTAACAACACATTTCCAGTTCAACAGCAAACTTTGCAAACAGACGAAACGAACAACCATGGGATAGTTTATATCAGAAGCAGTAATGCAAAGATTGGAAACTGCCATATTACAGTTGATGACACTAAAACTTTGGATCCAATACATGTTTGTCATCATAAAAAGAAAGAATTAGAAAACGCTTAGAAATTAATCAACAACGTTTTCAATGACATTAAACTCACAACTGAAGAGAAATCAAACCCTAAAACTTTCATTTTTACATGTTCTGATCGTTAAAACGTACTTAGGAAAATTGGAAACTGAAGTATACAGAAAAACAAATAACATTAATCAAATTCTCAACTACAGTAGCAACAATCCAACAACATACAAAATCAGCTGCATAAAAACATTGTTCAGAAGACTAAAGACACACTGTAGTAAGTAAATTTTTCGGCGAAAAAAAGATAGCTACTTAATGACTGTTTTCCAGAAGAACGGCTATCCATGTAACTTCAGCAAAAGATGTTTTTCTAATTCACCGTTAACCAAAAGATCATCCTTAGAAACCAATAAACGGATTGTCTACCTTACATGAAGAATATATGCGAGATCACAACTATACAATGCAATAGATAAATTTTATCACTATTTTTCTTATAATTCAAGTCCGAGTACATGAATGAAACGATAATAATAAAGGTGACCAAAACAATAAACGTGTCTATCCAACAGCTTATATAATCTAAAATTGAAACTGTGCGAATAATAATCAGTTTAACCTAGTATCAACTGTTACTGTGGGTAACGCTTTGGCGTTTGAAGCAATCGGCACAGGGTTCCAGTTTTAATGGGAACATCACTCACTGGCGAGCAGGTACATCCAGCTGAAAAGTCCCAGAGACGGCGAAACGCGCGTCCTGGATCCCATTCCTAGCCACTAATAAGCGAATTATAACGCAAATATCGTGTTTTATAAGAAATTTCTTTCTCTTTGATAATGTTATCAACTATAACGTCAAATAAGCACTTTCCTCATTAGAAACACACAACTTTCACTAATAGTTAGTGATCCTGATCATTTCTGAAGCTAATTGGAAAGTAGAATACTGCAAAATTTACAGATTTAGTCGAGAACTCATATGAAACTAGGTTTTTATCTAGTTCCCAACTGTCGTTCACTAGCTAAACACTCATTAAGTCATTGTTCCGTAAATATTGCATCTACTTTGGGTTAGACGTGTGGGAATAATGAGTCGCTGCAAAGTAAATGCGACTCATCTCAGTATATATGCGTCAAACAACAATCAATGTATTTATAAGCGAAGAAACTTGCTATACTTTTAGTTACAGCTGAATTTCTTTTACAAAAACAGTTAAAAAATTAACATCGTTACTAACCAGGCTGTAGGATACTGAATGTTGAATACAGCCCAATCAGGTGCTGATCGAAAACTTCCAGCGAAACAAGCTATTCCTAATGAATTTCCTGACAGCTGAAAAGAACCACTAAGAACAGGATTATTGTGTGAGTCGGACTGTGATTCTACAGATATTGATTTCCCTTTGAGATTAGAAACTCGAAATCGCTCTCGTGAAAATAGTTTTAATGCTTGGTACATTATTTTTTGCCAATGACGTTGTAACAGCCTATCAATTTCTTGATCACCGAAACTGTCAGATTTTGTGTCCAACTTCCCTTGAAATCGAGCAGGTGAACAAAAGCTCATACTTTGACTTGAAGAACGGCGTTGTCTGCTGGTCATCGGAAACATACCAAAACGACCAACTTGTCCAATCAAAGATAAACGGCCTTCACGAACTTGTTCTTGGAAATAATCACGAACCTTATGAATAGATCGTAGAAGGTCTGGAGTGGTACTACGTACGATAGCGGCCTAAAACACCAACAATGGAATAAAACTCCCGAAATATATGAAGCATATGATTTAAATACTGCTAAATCTTTCACATAATCCATTTACAGATATAATGTCAATAACATTTCACAGGCAAGATCACAATAAAAATTCAGAATCCACAATATGTGTATACATGACAAATAAGATATTTCCTTGCACAGTTGTTTTAACAGGCATAGAAAGACAAATATTCCCGTAACACTGGAAATAAGCAATTAAATCTTAAAGGCTAGCAGTTCAAATTGCGCGTCTACAACTACAATTTGATTGAACGGAGAAGTAGCATGAATAATGCACTATCCTTAAACTGTCTATATATTTAAAAACTCGCTTAGTTTTCTACCACAATAAAAACCATTCCATCAGTAGCATAATATGCAACATAATACATTTTCGTAGTCTTAAATAAAACTGAACCCAGCCTAAATCGATATAAGTCTACAAATATATCAGTTGATTCTATATGGGTATCTAAACCCTTAACTTAACATCATCACTGATGATTTCATAATCAGTTTGACGATGAACCCTCAAGTCCGTGTTATAAGAATTAAGCTTCAAATAGGTGTCGTTGTGTTAGGGATGACTATATCACTTATATTCCATACTTACAATTTGTATATATTTGAACTGTTTTCTTTGAGCTCTTTTTCTCGTACATGAGTTATATTTCATATAACCTCCTGGTGTTCTGATTCGCTCCTGCCTCTTTAAGTGTACTAGTTATTCCTTATCTTTCAAAGTTACTGTAAACTGTATAAATAGGGTCCGTTTTCACTGATAAACATTTTCAGTCCGAAATATTATACACTCAATTGACTACTAGTCTTTCGATTTCCCTTTGAGAATCACTTGAGTTGGACCATCTAAATCCTCCAATACCAATCTTCACAACTCCATTTGCTATAAACCGTATCTAACTCCTAATGTAAGTATGGTGATCAAAAATAAGAAATTTTTTCACGGAAATATCCGATAATTTGTGATTAAATACCTGTGCTTGATCCCAATTTATTTCACCGGCAATTCGAATAAATATTGGGGGTGAACCAAAAGCAATATTTGATTCACTATCAGACTCTAATGATGTATACTGACTTTGTTTTACAGGAACGGATTTCGCCTGTCTACCTGAATCAAACAACTGTTGAGCGACATCTTTCAGACGCCATTCATCGTAGAGCATCAAATCTAAGGAATTCACTCTAAACAGTAGAATATTTGTGTTCATATATTCAATACGTATTTGAAAGCCACCAACTTGAGCTGCTAAACAATGTTGTGGATCATGTGAAGGATCATCATCTATTCGAACTAAAGTGAATAAAAAAGTCACCATAAGTACATATACGTATGAGAAAACAAATAAATAAGTAAGAATAATGCAAATCGACATGGTACCAGTTTATGTACAAACTGGATAACCTAAGAAGCTGTCTAAGTTTTGAGTGCTTAGCAGTTATAGAAGTCTATCGATCAAGATTTGCAACGTGGTCACCAAGGTGGGTGATGTGACTATTGGAGTGCACTGTATCTAGCTAGATGTTAGCTGTTGGGAGTTAGTCATTAAGCCTTGGATCTAGATTTCGTGCTTAATGGCGTATCTGCAACCATGAGTAGACTGGTGTTCTTTCAGTTATTGAAACCTGCGTCGCCCAGTGTTTAAGTCAGAGACTTAAATAAACTATTCAGATCACGACCGCTCCCGTGAGCTGCTGGATTATGTATGCGAATAGGTCATCAGTGGGTTGCAGATACGTCTCCCTAATGAGTGTCGACAAGCACAACAGTTAGATCCAGAGATTTATGTTGATTGATTTCGAATACCTAATACAGTGTTATGTATTAAGCTATGTGCTCTACTGGTTGTATGAACGCTAATGTCATTATATAGTTCAGCGGGCGGAAGTAAGTGGGGCAGAATTTCAACCTGGGAGACTTTACTTAAGCGTCCAGTACCTAAGCTGTTTAAATATTACCCAAAATGTCCAGCATACTTTACGAATTGCAGACGACAAGAAATTATGCAATTTTGGGAATAATTTGAATAATTGGATGGCTTTTTGTCTTAAATGTCTCTTTTCGTCATTATCCCTAATTGCGTGTAAACTTTCAACTACTACACTTTCGCTTGCAGTATACTAGATGATATATATTGTAAGCTAGCTAGTACGCGTATTCCCTGGACTGCACTTCTATAATGAAAGGAAATTTTGCACAATCTGGAAATATATGAAGAGCTGACACTTAGTTATAAGATTGGTCCCATTTGAAGCGATGAATAATGACTACGTAAAACGTATTTTTAAGATATCCGTCATTCACATATGATAATAAATAATTAAATACAATATGAAGATGTGAATCGTCTGAAGTTTATGAGGAGAACTAATTGTTTTAAGTTTCAAATACAATATGCTACCTTCGACTTCACAAATATTGAAAAGGATTCATGACCAACATCATCCATGTCATATCACACAAAACAAGGGGTGTGACAGATTAGTCTAGTAGTGCCATACTGACTTGAAATGAATGATTATTACTGCTGATTTAGGTGATATTTAACACAATATAATGACGGCTAATTTCATACATTTCTGTTAGAGAAGGTTGAAAACAACTGTTCCAAATGAAAAAAAAAGCAATAAGCCCAAAAAATTTTTATCAGCCTTTCATACTTAAAAATGCTATTTCAATTCTGAAAAATACTTTGATTTATTGAATTACATACAAAGTGTTGACATACCACCAGTTGAAACTTTTCATCGTTAATATGAATAACTACAGAAAGGTAAGAGTATGAGTGTCTCTGATCCAAGCAGGTTTTGATCTAAACAGCCTGGTCATATTTAGCTCATTCAGAGACCTAAAGCCTAAAAATAGTTATCCTAAACAATTCAAAGTCCATCATGAAACAGAAAATTATCCATCTGATTCAACGTTCTATTTCTTCTACAATTCTAATAAAAGTGAAGTAATTAAAATTTGCCTGAATACTGCATTGGAAAGCGAAAGCATAGAATAACAAAATACTTACGTCGAGCCTCTACATCAACTAAGCCAAATTCACCACCAACTCCACCACCTTCACTAATAAACTGACTATTGGCCAAACCAGCAGTCAGTAGAGTATGTTTACGACCTGATGAATTCACTGATATATGACCTTCACAAAATGATTGGTCCACAATTAGTCTAAAACATAAAATTAACAGTGATACACAGATAAACAAAAAATAATTGAATTATTAAATCAATAATCTACCATCTGAAAAAACTCCTAGTATGTTTGACATTCACTTAAGATTTAATAACGAAATTTACAATGTGACGGTGTAGCGATGAAATCGCCTCTTGGATATTTACTTGTCGACTGCTTCATGGTTAGCCTTGTGAATATTCCACTGTTCCCAACCACCAGTCAACTTCATGTATGCCACAAGTATATAGACGATGCCTTCATCGTTTGTGACAGCAATTTAGACGTGATACGTCTACTTTAAAATGTCAACGACAGTCACTCTTTAGTCAAATTTACACTAGAAGGTGAATCAAATTCGATGTTTCACCTCCTAGATATCAAATCGCAAAGGAGACCTGATAATTTAATTGAAACACCCATCTACAGAAAGCCCAGTTGGAATGAGAAGAACAATCATTCATGGACATAGAACACTCTACATTGTAACCCTCTGTATTGCTTTCTTATGTCAACAGCTGATCCGTCAGTGCGCCGAAAACAACTTGGCGTTTTGGACCTCCTCAATGTACATTTACAAGTTCACTTGCTCCCATGTAGCTGAGTACGTCAGAACAACTCGTAGACTGAGAACCAGAGTCAGATGATTCCTCTGGAAACCTCATTAAAAGTTTTCCACAAAGTTCAACCGAACCGTTCAAAAGTGGTGAAGGTGAGACACTTATATGTAGTGGAAGCTTTGACGATTCACAGCTTCAAACCTCAACTGTGTATTCAAAAAAAAACAAGTACAAACAATTTTTACCATGAACTTAAGCAAATTTTCAGCACCTCTGTTTATATTTTATTTTACATTTTATTGATTGATTTATAGATTTTATTACACATTTATTTACCTATTTATTTTTACTAGACACCAAATCTTACTATTCACTGCATATTATAAAAACTGTTGACATTATATCTTGTGTTACGAAACATTATTTCATTCCCTCCATACACCTACCAATTGAGTTTGACCTTTGACCGAAACATCCTATCATTTTACTACTATTATTTATGAACATAATAGTGAAAAGTCTGTGAAGCGGATTAATGTATTACCAGCAAATTTCTAATGATGAGTTCACACACGATGATAAGTTATTATTTTGGTAATACTTAAATATAAAAAAAATTTCAACTGTTGGTATGATCACATGCAGTAATTTTGATCGAAATATTACAAAAATTAAAAACTTATTATTGTGTGTAAAGTCATTAAAAATTTACTTATGATATTTAAGAATGTACAGTCAAGAAAATGAGTCGACGAAAAAATCACCTTCACGTTAACCCTTTGCTTCTCAACATATATATACATTGCAAGATTGAACGGTTAGTTTAGACAGGAAGAAAGGATATCAATCATCCTTAGTATTAGAATTGAGTTAACAAAGGAATTCTAAGGTTATAGTACACTGTTTTCCAATACATAAACTAGCTTTAAACGTTCTTATAGTTAGAGCTTCAGGAAATCAAAATGTAAATGCTCAAAAGGTTTCAAAGACGTATACGAATCAACTTTGTGACCCGTTTCAATGATATGTTCAGCTATAGATAAAATTGGTCATCTACTGACCCGGTCAGTGAGATCATTCGATCTGATTTGTTATTGCAGCCATTTCGCTCTATGATCCTTACTTGTATAGATCGACGGATCTTTCATATATACATGTGACCACACATAAATGTTAACCGATAAATGCAACTAAATGTAATCCCATCGTTGAAATGCTGAGGTCTACAGGAGTACATACGTTTCGTCTTCTCAGTGTTGACCCTTGCTATATAGCATGTTTTGCGGACTTAACTCTTTGTTTGGTTGTTAAATTCTGTAAGTCAGTCTTATGTGTCAGCATGACATTGACGTTTTTCTTTGGAACTGACTGAACAATGTATCGTATTTGTGCAGCATAGGATAATTGCTATCTAGTAATACTTTGATCAACTTTAATGTTTTTTTCTTTTAAAGCGTCATTTGTGTATATTCTTTGAATCTGGTTGTACAAACACTCGACTAGTCTCCGTCTATACTGAAGTGGACAGAAACTATGGTAATTTAGATACTGTCCTGTTCACGTGAATTTCCTACAGATGTATGGTTTCATTGACTCATCTTATAGGTAATTTACGATAATTTCTAAGCATGTTAGATACTGATCGTTTTTTTTGTTCACAAGTTAAGGATGTCCCACTCTGAGCGTGATTCATTCTCTAGTGATAATCGAAATAGCATATTCTAGTCTTATCACATATAACTATGGCGCCGTCCATATATGTGTTTTTGGAAAAGAACCTTAGCAGTCAAATTTTCGAACAAACTGTCGACGTATGATATGCAGATGTCGGCTACTAAGGAACCCAGAAAGCTTACGACAGTATCTATTGGGTGAAAATGTTCACCCTTAAATGTAAAATTTAACACTACATACAAGAAGCTCGTTAAGAAGAAGAAGAAGAAGAAATGGTACTGAAATATTGTTGGCCGAAATATAATCACGTAAGATGTCAGGTTTCTGCATTAAAGAGACATTGGTAAGCGAAGAATTTACTACGAATCACATTTATTGCTTAAAAGCTACCGATATACTCCACCTGAAATCTTCGAGGCTAGCTTTGATTCCAAAGTTTAGTGCATGGTGAACCCAGTAAGTGCATTACTTCTCTAAAACAACGATACACATCAAAAAGCCTACTAACCTGATTTACCTTCAGTTTTGCTTTTATTTATATCAATCCCCGTGTATACCTGTCATTATTCAAATGTATACTACGATTATCTTCCCTGTAATCATTTCATTTGAAAAAAAAGTAACTGATACAGAGTTTCACAACAATGGAAAAAAGTGGAGAGTATCAAAACCTTCTAGAAGATAACGAAGTAAATAATACAAGAATATATAAACCACCACTTGTTTTATAGCGAAAATAACATACCGTGTTAAACCCATAGCACTACCCATGTATAAATTTAGGTCGAATTTCTTCAACTGTACACAGAAAATAGTTAATGCATTCCATGAAGCTACTCGTAAACTAGTATTACGACTTCCACTAGCTCCACGTTCGATGCCAACAAGTGTAGTTAACTTTGAAGTTGGATCTGGAGAGGTACTGTTTGTAGGCGCAAGAGTTGAGTGATCATTTGATGAAAAACATGGACCTATTGTTGTAGCACGAGCTTCATTTAATCTTGTACAGTTTGTATGGCAATGAGTTTCTTTTAAGGTTATTGTTTTAGATGAAGGTTGTTTCTTAGTTTTGATTGAAAGTTGTTGGGATTCTGCGAAAAAAAAATAGTCACAATAACAACAATTAATAATAATACACAATGTGATGCAATATCCAAACAGTTTAAAGTTATTAAATCTAGTCTATTATGTACTTCTCAAACAATTACCTGCAAAACGTATTATAGTGATATTTAATCAAACTACGAAAATGAAATTAGTTATGCGCACAGAAATGACATTAAGCCATCTAGTACAGACTATGAGTCACAAATAATGCATGAGGGTTTGCGATACTCTCTGACAGCCAAAAGTGAGTTCAGTTTGAACTCGGAAATCACTTTGCGAATGTCAAATGCTTAAGCTAGTGAACTACATTTCCACAGCTATATATGCGACAAAGCATACATATGATGTAGGCGTGTGCAGAAAATAATATTGGTTTCTACAAACTGATTGTTTCTGGATAAATATTTACACATGGTTTCGTCAGCGTAAAAGTGTAGACATTAAAATATATAAAAACCAATTAACCAAACTATTTAACGATTGTAGACTGAGAAATGAATTTCAGTGATTAACTGCTTATGCTAAACTTCACTCCGACGTGGTTGGTGAAATCTGTAGTTCAGCTTAAATGATTATTGACAACTCAAGTTGTTCCGCTTGTTCATAACGCTTTCATGTCAAAGATCATACATTATGATTTTGCTTGGATGGTTTCCAACGGAAACCAAGTTGACACCACAGTTGGTCATCTGAAAAACTACTCAGCTGTAACAAATGTCACGGTGTTTCGTTAGATTTGCAAGTCACTTGCAAATTGATCATCCTATCCCAGGTATATCGATCCATGTAGTCAGGTAATCTGAAATAATTCAGCTCTATGAGCTGAAATTGTCCGGGTACACAGTTGATGAGCCCGACTCCAAACGAGCGAGACGATGATCTGGTGATTAGATCACTCTGATCTGATCAGTGAAATCTAAAAATAAGGCATCTAACCAATTTGGCTATTCAGTGGTAGTATATTAAACTTATGAATATAGAATAAATAAACGAATCCCTATTACTGTCAAGTTAAGTTTTACCGTTGACGAACCAAAGAAATGAAGCTACTATCTAGAAACATCGATAACGGTGTCAAACACATGAACTTTTACATGCTGGTCACTTCATAGTTTTAATGCATGAATTAACTGTTTAACTGTTCACGTACACCAAAAACTACCAGTTTATGTCCACTTACGAAAAGGTGCTTTTAGAGGTAGTCAGGTTAAAGTATACTCATATAGAATTGAGGTATGTATTGCATAAATCAAGCATTCACACAGATAAACTACGAGAATGATACGGAAAACTATAAATATGGGAACAATGGGATGGAAAGAAATTGAGGAAAAACAATAGCTGATTAGCAAATAAGTGATTAAAACTACTTAGGAGTAAATACTGTGCACAGGATCACAAGAAGCTGTTAGACAGCATGAACAAAAACTCAATTGTATGTGCTGTACAGAAATAAGCGAATCCGCGAGTAAAGAATCAAAACCAAAATGCAATCAGTAAATATGTGCACCTTCTTGCAGGAAGTAATGAGACACGTCTGGCTACCCACACTTTAGTATGTGGAGTGGGGTTCGAGTCTGTGACTCGTCGGTTGAAAGTGTCTAGACCGATAAGCCATAGATTCAGCGAGTAAAAAGTATCACAACACTATTTAAATAGACAGACAGTAATACAAACCTGTAGTGGGTTTAACTGTGTCCCTTTGCGATTCATAATCCGATTCGCAACCAACAGAAGTTTTAGGACTTTGTATAGTGTTAAGTGTTGCTGCTGTATCTATAGTATCTGATACAGTTTCTGACTTGGCATTTGATTGTTGTTGTGCAACTTCCTGCACTTCACTTTGATCAAACGGTTGAGTTGCATTATCAGCTAAAATATGGTGAAGTAGTGAAATTCAAAACATTTTATTAATAGTTATACACTTTGACAAATTTCTATTGAATCTTGACAATAATGAACACATGTTCAGTCTTCACATGAAAAAAAACACTCATAAGGATGGAAGATTTTCCAATCAAGACTCAGTTCCTAACATTTTCTGTCTATATAATTTAACAATGGAATTGACACCGAGTTGGCTTTATATCAAGAACTAAACGACTGACAATAAACACCAATATAATGATGGCTAACATTAGTTTACCTCTAGTCAACTCAAAAGACTTATTCAGAATGAATATTAGGAGAACTATTTAATCCTGTAAGCCTTGAGGAAAACAGGAATGATTTCCGTTCAGCGAATACATAACACCACCTTTCATAATTAAAATAAAATAGTAAGTGGAAATGTAAACTCTGTTATTATATAGGAACTTCATATTTCTAACAGTCTTTGAATGTACCCAATGACAAAACTTTCAGGTATAATGATTGGATGTGAAGCTTTTCAAGGAGTCAAAACTTTTTTGATGGATTTGGATAATCATGATGAATACCATAACAGAACCTAACTTTTGGAAATAGGCCAATTAAAATTGCCTTCAGGTTTATGCATTATGTTATGCACCACAACTAATATGTGAATGCCTATGAAACTACCAGTCCATGTACGTTGAATTTAGTGAAGAAGTGGTTGGATCAGTGACACAGTGACCCTAAGTCGCAGGTGTAAGTTAATTAGTCACAGTTACAGAAAAATGAGTGCTTATACTACCAAAAGGAAGCTACGCTAGCAACTTTGGAATATAATAATGAACAGAATGAAGAATTAAATTTATGTAGGCGTATAAATAGAATCAACGCATAACTTCGCACACAAGTTCATCGGTTCGAATTGTCACACTTCCCAGTAGTATACAAATAACAGGTGGATAGAACAAGAGTGATGTTAAGGTAGAGAAAGCAATTTGAAGATAAAGGTTAGTACGAATATTCAAGCTTTAGAAGATGTCAAAAAGTTAATACTTCTGCGCCATTGTGACCGATTTTCAACCATGTCACCAAGAATTCTCAACCACTGATTTCTATCATCTCGGGGACCCCAATCAGGTAGTCTACATCTAAATTTATGCAAAAGATTATGACAAATTTAAAATAAACTTTTATTCATATCAAAATCTACCTGTATCAGTCAGGTCATCATTACCCAAAAATAAACGACGAGCTAAACTGCTTCGATACCAGGAGTTGTAAATATCGAGAATTTCTAGTGTTCGACGAGTATCACAAGTAAACTCTGCTACACCAATATCAAAGATACCTGAAAATGTTAAACAGATTCCAATGGTTGAGTGGTCAAGAGTGAGTACAAAACATCAAATGTCGATATATGATTTATTCCAATGGCTGAAGATAACTAATAGTGTTCATAGAGGTTCCTTTTCCTTCACACCTCCATGAATGAAATGGGAAAAAAATTCATTTTCCATGTAATCGTTACGTGGTGATTGCAATTCTTCAAATTGTGTGCTTATCACTTTATCTACTGTGGTGGAGCTAGTCATACAGGCCACACGATGTGCAAGCATCCCGAACACATCTCCAAGCATTATCCGGCTTGACTAGTCAGAAGAAAACACAGTTCAAGCAACGATTTCGTTCCGAACTGTTTGGTCAACCCTAGTCATGTCACTTCCCCATAGTCTTCATCCAATACAAATCCAAACTAAACAGTTTCAAAAAAGTGCGGAATGGTCACTTAATTATAACAGAGATGTTGGTAATCTAGCAGTTAAAGGCTGAATTCTGTGTACAGAGGAGTTACGTTCAAATTCGCGTCACGCTGTGGTCATATTCTTTCATCGATTTTTTTCATTGCTTCAGTATTCAGGTTACTCTTAATGAGTGATTAGATTACTTAAGGGTTTATTTTCTTACCTCTTTGCGCATCAGTTCTAATTACCCACTGAAATCTTGCAATATTTTACTGTGATTATTAATTATTTTTCTAAACCTAACTATCACCGTGATTGACTGCATATTTTTCCCAATACATCCTATGATTATCCAATCTTTTTCTAACTCTAGAAACGATTTATAATTTCCTCGTAGAACATTCTTTTTGGATAACATTATGTTGGCTAACTAGTCAAATATAAACTCCTTACAAATAAGATTGACAACTATTGAGAATGATTCGTCGAAAGCAAAATTTTCTCCTATGAATTCTTATGTGTTAATGTCCAACAACTCTGTGAAGTTACTTGCTCTCACACGAAGTGAGATATTCCAAGGTAAGATAACACCTGATAAAAATAATCATTTAAAAGAGGTTAAGAAGTTAAGTGACTCGAAAATGTGATACAAATGTCACCCAACCAACTTCTATACTGTTAATCATTTTCTAGCCCCAGATCCAGTTGAAAATGTTATCACTCCACGATATGGTTTTGTAAGATCGAGAATATCAGAGGCATTAGAACCTTGCAGTTGGGATCAAAGAGAACAAACGACTTAGAAACCTGATAAAATATCGGATAAGGATCAGCATTGAGGTCAGTCTTGTTCTATTTGTGATAATAAAGCCTTTTAGAGGAACTAATTACTTGATCTTTGGGTCTTTTTCTCTCTTTTACTTGTCGTTTTCATCGTGTCCCGAAGATACTTCATATGCTTCGAGCTCGCGTTTAAAGCCAACAAGAAATATATATCATAAGGATGAAGAGCAAACAATCAGAGAAAATTTCACGTCGGTATTTATTACGGAGTGACATCAGCTGGAGAACGTGAAAGGACTAGACAGCTGTTTCATTCTAGTATGGGACTTCCCAGCGTGAAACCAGATGAACTCAGTAGCAGAAAAGTAAGTGATAATGTAGTCTTCAGTCAAGAACGACAAACTACTGCAGCCAGTCAACTTGAAATTATTGATGCCGTGTTCATCCTGGTGAGACGTTGGGGAATCTAAAACGCTCGTTCCATCCTATATGGGATTCGTCAGCTGGATATGCCTGCACTACAGTGAGTGTTGTTCCCTTTGAGATTTGAATCCAGTACCCGTCGCTTCAAACACCAAAGCGCTTTCTACAAGATCAAGGCGATCACTGACTTTACCACGTAATAAAACCTACATAAACGATATTCACCACCATCAACGTGAGAAACCTAAAGGATGTTGTCTCTTTCACCTACCTACCTATCTATCTACCTACCTACCTACCTAGGCAGTATCGTTTCAACTACAGGCAGCACAGGCACAGATGAGGACTTCAAAGTCAGCATCGGAAAGACACCAAGATAGGCCTTCCTGCATTAATCTGAAGTCAGTGTGGACATCCACTCCACTACACTCCACTACACTGCACTGCACTCAGCATAAAGCATGAACAAGATACAGATTTTCAACACTAATTCAGTCAAGTAAGTTAATGCTTCTGTGTGATGATTGAGAGACTTGGCGCGTTACGAAAAGCATTTCCAACAAACTACAGACATTCATCAACAGCTGCCACCTACCCTCGATAATACTGAAGATCAGATGAATGGTCAGAATAATAAGAATAAGCAACAAGGAACTCTGAATGACCTCACAACGAACTAACGAGGCAAGAACCCATCGCCCAACAAATGTGCAGAAGAAGAGAGTGGAGATGGATTGGATTCGATTGGGTTGGGGATACACTGAGAAGACCATTTGTGGACATCACGTGCTAGGCTAGGCTCGGCTCGGCCAGGTCAGGCCAGGTCGTCGAGTGGAACGGAACTGAGAAACGACGAGTTGGGTGTTGGAAGCGAGGGTGACATGGAGGAGATGGTGTGAGGAAGAAATGAAAGCTTGTGGGTAGTCGTGGAGTCAGGTTGAGAGGACTACAGGGAATGGAGTGAAATGGAGACGTGCTACTGAAACCCTATTTTCCACTAGGAACTTAAGGGATAAATAGTAATAATTATATTATCTTCGCAATGGCTATATGACAACTGGATGGGGAAAGTGTGAAAACAAAGATGATTATGTCATATTTAAACAAGATATTAAAGTAAAACAATAAATGTTTACCTGAAATATATAGATTTCTATGTAAACCAAAGTTGTCACCCGACTGTGTGGAGTTCATTGTTTCACTCGCAGAACTAAGAAGACTGACACCATGAACTGCTGAACTGGATGGCTTTTTGTTAGGTTCACTAACAGCGGCTGTAGTACATTCATTTGTGGGAACATTTGGATTCATTTGTACAATTTTTGCTTCTATAGTGCGAGAAAAATGGCACTGTATGTCTTTTACAAGAATAGTAAGTGAATCACAAGGTCTAGCATTTCCCCAGGAACTAGATTCAGGTCTCATGGAAGATGATTCTCCATAAGGATGGAAAATTGATACACGGAATTCTACAATTATTTAACAGAATAAGAAGAATAATTAGTCACAATTATTTCACTTTCTTGTTTAAGAAACAGTTATTAATTACAGATGGGAGAGTCTTAAATTTATTATGTAATGCAAGGACGAAAAATAATACAACAAAGCTAGAAAGAAGGAAATCATTAATATAAACTTTCGGATAATATACAACTATGAAAAAGACGTTCAACACAATACACAGCCTACTAGGTACGGCACACTGTGCCACTAAACAAAACCGTCTCTAAATGATATGATACAGAACAAATATGTTGGAGATAGATAGACATAAGGTAGGTTCTTGTACGGAAATAAATCAGTGCAGGTGATCTCATTTCGAAACAGCACGAAACAAGAAAAACAATAGTAACGGTTAGATATTAGAGTAGATAATAACAATAATACCAATAATAATAATAATAATAATAATAGTAATAATAATAATAATAGCTTTATTCCAAACAACGAGTTCTCAACATGTAATGATGTAAAAAATTCACCTACCAAACAATATTTTCAAACTCAATGATGACTTTATCTGAATGATGTCCATAATAACAGCATTAGAGTTCATACTGTGAAGCAGCCGTTTTGTGCTGGATTAGCGAACGACGCTTAGTGGTGGTTCATTCAGCCAGTAAAGGAAAGTACTATCCGAGATAAGTATCCGGAGAAAAGAGACAAGGTGTATTTTCTTGTATACAAAAGTCCATTTCCGTCTACGACGATATCTCCCCTTCGTATAGTTATTACTTCGAAAAACGACTAGTTCACAACATTTTAAAAACCCGCAAGAGTACACAATAATTTTATAGGATATAATTAAGAGATTAAAACAAGCTAGGAGGGACGAATTAAATATATATGGAGGAAAGTTTTATTAGTAGCTATTATTAGTAGTAGAGTTCAAGCAGGCCACCATTCACTTTAAATAAATGGCTGATTAGAAAGTGAATATACACTGTAGGGGAGTAGGTACGACTGATGAACTTTTATACTCACTATACACTAGGATATCTGTCATAAACGACAGCAAAATCGTTTTAGTCTTCAGTATATTTTCACTAAACACGTACGTCATTAAACGCTATAATATTCAGCGCTTAAATTTACTTTTCATCCTTCATAATCTGTAACTTGCTGACATAACAAACAGGCCTGTTCTACTTCGAATCTGAATGAATTCAAATTTTAATACTTTCAATTGGTAAAATGTAAACAAAGGATAGGAAAAGATAGCACTCTGTCATATGCTATGTTAAACATGAGATCGACAATAGTGGAACTAAATCGACAGTTTTTGACCAAATACTGATTTCTCGTATGAACCTTTAAAATTAAAACACTTCAGTAACCTTACCTTCATCCATGGTTGTCAGTTTCAATGCTTACTTTCAAAATGACATCTCATTTAGCTGTATATCCTCCCTTGCAATACACATAAATCAAAGTTAGTCTTTTTACGTCGTTCCGAAAGTTATTGAAATATGTGGTAACTAGAATGTATGTATAACTAGCCATATCGGTTGGTATAGTAAGAACTAGAAAAACCTACTACGAAGTAAGTGGTGCATTATACCCTCCAGAAGGGCTAAACAATGAACACTTAACAATACCATTAATGTAGGAATAAAACTTGGGTACTATGGCAAAGCATAATTTCATGTTGGATAGTTTATTTGATGTAGCATACAATGATACAGTACCATTTAGTGGATGAGATTGTGAGCACAACTTACTGCTCATAATTATATCAAAGCAATCATACAACGTTCAAACTTCCCTTATGCAATGTAAATTTTTTATTCTTTCATTTCGGTGGGAGTAAGAAAATCTGAATATCTACAATATTTGGTGATTCATTTCAACTACATTTGCTAGATGCTGATTCAATGAAAAAACTATTCTATAATCAATCTCTCCTTCTACATATTGCTATTTTGGATTTTTTATTTAGCTGAAATATAATATCCTATTATGAATTGTTTAAAGTCTAGGCTAACCAAGTCCTTTGATGCGAAACACAAAGCAGATAACACAAAGTTATACGATGAAGGAAAAGTGGTCAGTTTTAACGTGAGGAGACAATGTACAAACAAGCCAATTAATATGGCACTTGAGGAAGTCAGAAATGAACTTGTCATTCGCCATAAACTCAGTAGTAGAACTAGAGTCTCGATTGAAGGAATCATACTAAGGACACAGTTGTGTCCACCTTCTGCAATCTTTACATTGTAATAAAAAAAAAATATATAAATAGACAGAAGGGGGTAGCGATAGGATCTACAATTAAGAATAAACAAAAGTAAGAACACTTTGAATCCACCTCTTCACCCAAAATGTATGATGGCGATGTTTAGAATTCAGATCGTCTATAGTGTTAACATATCCAGAAGACACATTGGGAATTTTACTTAGGATTCTCAAAAATGCTGGGATTAGGATAACGTTTAAACTCATAAAATTACTGACATTTAAGAATTTAGAGTTTAAAATCCAATGAGTTGCAATGGAATAAAACAATCTAATCTATCAAAAATCTTGTATTGATTGTAAGATTAAAGTAACCGATTAAGATCAGTTAAGAGGGTTAATAACAAAAACTCGATGAAATATATAATGATAACCCTTCCAAAGACAATTAATTCAGAAGAAAACTCAGGTATCCATTTGCAAGCAAAGACTCATAATAAAACTGTAGGGTGGGATTAGGTGAAAGTTCGAAAATCCAAAATAGCTATGTCCAGAGAGAGGTTACATAGTGTTTGTTCAGCAAATCAATACCCAACATATGTAACAGGAATGACTCATCGTATTTCGCAGATATTTGGGGATTTTCACCATTACCATTAAAATCGAAGAATGAAGAACAGTTACATTAGATTAGTTAAGTTTGAAGGTTACGTGATAAATTTGATATGATTAAGAATAATAAATCCTGCTTGGAAAGTTATCCAATAGGGTGTACTGTATGCTACGTCAAATACACAACCTAATATTGAATTTAGCGATTATATTAGTTTATTAGTTCAATAATAACGAATAAAAACTGCATATAATTACGACACAAATTTTAGACCGTGTATAGAATATTTCTGAATCATTAAAAGGCTTTCAATTCGACAACTTGACCGCCTGAAGATTAAAGGATCTGCCGTATTTAGACTTCGATTGTATCAGGGTAAAACAGATCATACAATTCATCAGGTTCAAAATTTGACTTAAAGTACTATATAAACTTCATCGTAAATTATAATTCTCACTATATGAGAGACCTATGGTTTTTCAGACTAGTGTTGATACTAAATGGCCATGAAGCGATAGTAACGCGTCACGAATCCACATGGTAGTAAAGCAAAACCCTTGATGACTGAAGTGAAATAAAAATCTGATCAGCAGTCAGATTTCGTAGCTCAGTTGGTAGAGCTAGGAGCTGGAAAGTCGATGGCCGCTGCTTCGAATTCGGCTGCGGTGCAAATTTTAATTTCCCCTTCATCCCCGGCACTCATTGTACATGAAATTACTAAGACTAATACACTAACAGTTAAGTCATGTATAGATGCAGTTTAGGGATACTTTCATCATAAAAGACTTCAGAGAAACTTATACATTGCATTTCTAAACTGGAAGCCTATGTCAAGCCACATAGGTATAAAACCCCATCACTACAGAAGTGAAAATCAGCATCCAACGACTCTAGGCACGTTTCATCGAATGTCAGATTCATATTTCATACAAGCAAAGTCAAACAATCAGTTTTAATAACCATTCATCCCTTGGGTTCCTAGTGGAAAATAGGGTTTCAGTAGCACGTCTCCATTTCACTCCATTCCCTGTAGTCCTCTCAACCTGACTCCACGACTACCCACAAGCTTTCATTTCTTCCTCACACCATCTCCTCCATGTCACCCTCGCTTCCAACACCCAACTCGTCGTTTCTCAGTTCCGTTCCACTCGACGACCTGGCCTGACCTGGCCGAGCCGAGCCTAGCCTAGCACGTGATGTCCACAAATGGTCTTCTCAGTGTATCCCCAACCCAATCGAATCCAATCCATCTCCACTCTCTTCTTCTGCACATTTGTTGGGCGATGGGTTCTTGCCTCGTTAGTTCGTTGTGAGGTCATTCAGAGTTCCTTGTTGCTTATTCTTATTATTCTGACCATTCATCTGATCTTCAGTATTATCGAGGGTAGGTGGCAGCTGTTGATGAATGTCTGTAGTTTGTTGGAAATGCTTTTCGTAACGCGCCAAGTCTCTCAACCATCACACAGAAGCATTAACTTACTTGACTGAATTAGTGTTGAAAATCTGTATCTTGTTCATGCTTTACGCTGAGTGCAGTGCAGTGCAGTGCGGTGCGGTGCAGTGTAATGTAGTGCAGTGCAGTGTAGTGTAGTAAGGTGCAGTGCAGTGGAGTAGCTGTCCACACTGATTTCAGATTAATGCAGGAAGGCCTATCTTGGTGTCTTTCCGATGCTGGCTTTGAAGTCCTCATCTGTGCCTGTGCTGCCTGTAGTTGAAACGATACTGCCTAGGTAGGTAGGTAGGTAGATAGGTAGGTGAAAGAGACAACATCCTTAGGTTGCTCCTGTTCATGGCAGTTGGTGCTTGTTGTTGTTGTTGGTTGGGTATCTTCATCACCTCTGTCTTCTCTACATTCACTTGAAGTTCTGTCTTCTCTGCCTCACCCATTCTGTCACCTTGTTGGAGTTTGCTATTAGATCTTCAAGCTTCTGCGACATTGGACATATAAATCATCATCGTTGGCGAAATCCAAATCTTCCAGGGTCTTTCATCGGTCCAGCCAGCGTATGCCCATCTTCTTGCTCCTCACAGTTTCCTTCATGATCCAGTCGAGGACAATCAGGAAGATCATCGGTGATAGTAGGCGGTAACCTTGTCTTGTCTTACGCCTGTCTTCACTTCACTTCAAAGGCATCACTGGGCTGAGCTTTCCATTGTGAATCACTCGGCACATGGCGTCTTCATATGGCTGTTGAATGAGATCGATAAAGGCTTGTGGCACTAAAACCGTAGTGTTGAAGTAGCTGCCAAACTACTTCTCGGTCGACGCTGTCGAAGGCCTTTTCAAAATCGATGAAGTTGAGGTAAGGTAGAGAGTTCACTGCCATCCTACGCTCTGTTCTATGATGATGCGTAGCGTAGCGTTGCAATCCGATCCGCACATCATTTGTACTTCCTGAATCCAGCCAGCCCGTTCCGGTCGCAGTTTTGATTTGAGAGCATCTTTTAGTCTCTCCAGGATGATGCGGCATGATATTTTGCTTGCATTGGCTGGACAGGGAGGGAGCATGATTCCGCGCCAGTTATTGCAAAGACTTAGATCACCCCTCTTTGGAAGTTTGACAAGGTAGCCCTTCTTCCAATCGATAGGCAGGTACCTTTCCTTCCTTCCTTCCTCGCAAACCTTCTGCAGTAGTGGTGTGAGCACGTCCGCTGTTGTCTCTGCGTCTGTTTTCAGTGCTTCTGGTGGAATTCCATCTGGTCCTCCTGCTTTCCCGGATTTCAGCAACTTGATGGCGTTCAGGACTTCGACTTTTGTCGGAGGGCTTGTGTTCACTGGTAATTCTGCGGTTGCTGGTGGTGTTTCTGGACGAGTTGCAGGTAGTAGTGGTGGTGGTGGTCGGTTCAAGAGTTTTTTGAAGTGGTCAGACCATCGTCTCCTTTGTTTCTCCTCTTTGGTAACTAGGTTTCCTTCACTATTTGCCATTGGTTTCACCTGCGTCGATCTCTTCCCAGATAGTAATCTGGTTATTTGATACAATGTTGTTAGGTCTCTGTCTCTCCTACCTGCAGCCTGTTCTGCTTCACTTGCCAGTGTGTCGTAGAAGTGTTTTTTGTCTTTCCACGCACACTTCTTTGTCCAGTGTAGTGTCTCTGAGCTGCACTCCACTGAATCATCTTCTGCTCCACCATCTTCCTCTCCCTCCTCTATCAGCTTCCATGTGTCCGTCGAGATCCATTCCTTATCTTGCTTCTTCTTCCTTCCTAACACGGTTATGCAGGTTTCTCTGCACGTCTCTTTCAAGGAGTTCCAGTGTTCTTCCATGCAGGTTTCCCCAGGGATGTTGCCTAATGTCTCCCATTTTTTCTTTATGACTGATGTGAAGATGTCCTTTGTAGTTTCGTTCTTATAGTTTCGTGACTCGATTAGTGTCTTTCAGAATATGAGCTTCGATGTATGATAATTTCGACATTGAGATCAAGCTCATTTCAATGTGATTACAGTTCAAGTTCCAGAGGGAACACTATAAAACATGGATTTGAGTTGGTTACATGCAATTGACATATCTTAAATAGGACGATATGCCTTGGATTCCATTGCCAGCCACTGTGAAATGAATTAAATCACGACGCCTAAACATTCATACTACACAATTAATGTTACAATTAACACATAATGATGGATTTTTATTGCAATCCAAGTGAAATTACCTTTTAATATAGCCGTAACCGAGAGTCCTCCAGCTGAAACGATGTCACCAACTACTAGTTTAGGCTTCAGTGTAAAACCTGTGATATCCTCTTGATTATCGGACTGTAATGAGGCTAAAATGCAGAAGTACAATCAAAATTTGAGTGCAACTAATAAATTATTTATTAAAACAATGCAGATAGGTTTTTTATGAACAGCAAATCAGGCTCTAAGAATTAGATATCAAAGTCGATAATGTGTTTCAGTACTTAAACTGCAATCCCATTGAAGAAACGGGAAATCAAGCAGTCAATATTAGCATAATAAGTTGACTCAACAGATTTATATAAATGATTTACCAATAGCTCTGGTACACGTTCACAGCCTCTGCCAGAAACGTCCTATTCACTGCCTTAACGTGGTGATGTTTTTATACACGTGAAAGGGTACAATTGAACGTCCGGAACTTATCACCGGAACGGTGGATGATAAACGTCCATCTAGGGAAGCTTGAAAACCCTGATTTCAAACCAATGGTGCTCACGTGCTCCAAGTTCCAGATGGAACGGAAGCATATGAGTCTATTTTCGTCAACGGCAACCACGGAAATACAGCTCCTATTGTTGCTCCACTGCCTTGTGGATTAGACTACGTCAAAAGCTCGGGGAGTGGTCCCCTAAGACGCCTTAGTCTCGGCGCCTGGTAGTATCTCAACCCTTACACAAGGTATGAAATTATAGTAAAAAAGGATTTCGAAGCTATTAATCAACTCTCAATTGAATACTGAAGCTCTCTGAACTGCAAACTTTTTAACAGACTACCCAGTTCACTGATATTATATTGTTTTTACATATAAATTGTATTATTTTATTATTACCATTTTCGCTTCAAGTTTTATGTCACCTCATCCAGCTGCTCCCTACTGCTTGGACTTCTCATCTATCTGTTCCATTTTGAGTCGCCAACCAGTTTTCCCGTCAAGCCCTCCTCCAGTCCGACATCTGACACAACTATCCTGCAACCATGTACGATTTAAGTTCGTTATCTTCAGCGTTCGCACCTTGATGCAGATCGGACAACAGGCAGGTTTGGCTAGGACACCCAAAGCTCTGTTATTGATGTATGATGCATCCCAGAGACCCCTATATAAAATCCCAGTGAAGCGCTTCGAATTACTTCTCCATCTGTCAGCTCAGAAAGTGTTTCGTGTGAGCTTATCCGGGACCTTGTGGTACCGGCAACCGGCCTCGCTGGTGTCAGTGTCCACTAAGCACCTGATCCACAGCCACACTACTCGACTGGATCTCCATCAATAATTGTCTGTGTGCTTTAAGGCCGGAAAGTTCATCTCAAATAAGAAGTAACCAGCAAGAGAAACGGTGTCTCTTTGTCATCTCTACCCACTCAACGACGAATTTCAGCCCGGATGGAACCAATCATAAATTCTATTAGAGTCATTTAGGTGGCCAGCGGGGACTAGTGGGCCACTAGTCGAATAATAGGCATTGTCTTCTATAGCCTTAAGCAGATCACAACCTATTTTCTAGCTAGCATCAACTCCCGGTACAGCCATTGACGTTGTGCTACTTGGAGTCTTCCCTCTGCCACTCAAGCCTGGATCATATTATAAACAGCTGCCAATAGCGTGGGTGCATACAGCACTGACATCCCGTATGGAGTACTCGCCTGCACGCCGATCATGCTTCAGTGTGTACTAAGCTCATCGCACGTTTTGGTGACCATTGAACTCGTCGTTCTAAACAGGTTGATGCAAGCAAATTAGTTGCACCTAACACCTAAATCCGAGCTAGATTTAAGGCTAGCTACCGATTCTCCAGAATGTGTAAACGAGCATTGGCTGCACTTGCGAGATGCCATGAAAATAGCTAGTAAATTTGCGACTTGGAAGAACGTCCCGCTAATGAACACTGGGTTTCTGCGAACTCCCTACAACTTCCTGACGCCTGTCGGACCATTCTGGCAGATACCAAGTACAATGGTTCACGTAAGTCTCTTGCGTGAAAGATTACACAAAACTTACGTAGGGACCTTCAGGCTTGGTGGTCAGAACGCGCGAGTGAGATGGAAGCAGTAGCTGCATCTTTGAATATTCGGGAGCTCCTCCAGCTCATCTGAACCACTGGTAGCAAGAAGCCAGACGTCAGTGAGACGGTCCGTGAAACAGATGGTACGCCGATCAGCAATCTTCAAAGACCCCTGGGACGCTGAGCGGAGCATCTTGAAAAGCACTTTATCCGGTCCGCTGCTCCAGTGTATCGCACTCCTTGGTCAGTTAACGCTGACTCACCTAACGAAGCGGAGGTCTGTACAGAACTCGGAGTCCTGAAGGACATCAAGACACCCGGCCCACACAACTAACTCCCGACTCTCTTTAAGAATGGAGGAACGACTCTAGTCACGGAACTGACTAGATATTTTGAGAAGGGATGGCAGACTGAGAGTGCTCCATCCCTCTGGAATGAGACCATCACTGTGCCCATCTTTAAAAAGGGTCTGCGTAATGTATGTGACAATCATTGGAGTATTAGCATGCTGCCAGTAGCGTCAAAAATACTGGCTGCTATCATACTTCGCAGACTTTGTAAAACGCATGAGGATAAAGCCCGTTTTTCTTCAGGTCACGAATGCATAGATACTGGAACGTCGCCAGACGCATTGCAGGCTAATAATAGTTGCTTCTTGACATTAGGGTCGCCTTCTATTCTTTGGACAGTGCTGTAATCTGTAATGATCTGTTGGAGAGGGGCGTGGCTCAGAAATTTATTATTATCCTGAAGGCTCTGTATAAAATCACCTCAGGCAAAGTAAGGACACAACCACCTGTCTCCATGGTTCCGAACCACCAGAGGGGTTAGGTAGGGTTGCTCGATTTATCCATTCCTCTTTAACCTCGCCATCGATGAAACTTCTGAGGCAGCTCCGAAGGAAGTGCGCGTTGGTGGTGTAGATCTACTGCTCGGAGAACGGCTATTCGACCTTGAATATGCAAGTAGTTCTGAGGTACAACAGCGTGATTTTGGCATGATGGAGATCGTCAATCAACAAGTGAAGTCATCTGGAAACACCGGCTTCGGTGGCTTGGACATGTGTTATGCATATCGTCTCAACAGTTTCCACGCCATTCATTGTTTGCTAGCAATGGGACTGGATGGAAGAAGCGGGTGGTCATTGTATGACGTAGCGCGGTGGGATGAAGGATAGTCGTATCGGGTTAGCATCTGTTGGCGTATCACGATCCCTTGGGTGGGGTCCGAGAGATCATGCAACTCAGTGGCTTGAGATGTTATCAGGCATAGTTCAGGATAGAAACCAGTGGTAGTCATGCTGTATCTGCCTCCTATCTTAATCTTCTGCTGGTGATAAGTAACGAATATTTCGTTTTTAATGTACCTTAGAGTACAGCCCTTCTAATCATGCTATTCTTATTGTTTTCGTTCCTTACTTGTACACTTCCCATGGTTTTTGTCTTCACAGTGCTGTTATACTAATTTGTGTGGCGCATTTCTTAGTGCCCTTGCTGTACCATGTTTGTGTCCTAGTTATAATGATAATAATTTATGAAGCTGAACTAAAGGAAGTAATTAGTTTACCCATGGAACATTTTCGTTCATTCGTTAATCGACAAATATTCTCAGTTTACACTTGTAACATGTGTTACTATGAAAGAGTAGTTGGTTAAAGATAATAACATGAACCGTATTTATCAAATAAAATGAATCATATAAAATACACTCACCAAGATCTGTCAATTTACGTGATACATTATTATCGACTCGATTTACAACGGAATCACAATCATCTCGTTTAGTTGAGAAAACAGCATCCAAAAATGGTAAAACCATTAGACATTGCATTCGAGAAGTTGGCAAACAAAGAAACCTACAAATTATATAGGAAATTAAAGAGAGAAGTCCTACAGTGACACAAAAATAATTGATAAAAAGGATGGTCACCTAAAATGTCAGTGGAAATGAAAAGTCTATTTATCCACCCTGAATGATATTGCCCAACAGAGAAGTGTCTCATTCTACATTAAAAAAAAATAGTGTCAGGACAGAATATGTAATTTGAGAATATATCAACCTCATACTTCTATTATACCAGTGAAAAGTTCTGATGAAGTTTGTTTAAAAACTGTTAACTAAAAACAGAGTTTCACGTTTATCAAAACTGATGGGATGACCAAAACTGATTAGCCAAATAAGGTTAAGTAAATAAGTTATACATGCCTAGAGTCATTGTTAATGTTGCAATACCTCGGTGTGGAATCGTTTTTATTTTCTGTACGCTGACTATTTTGTGGTTGACTGGGAGACCTAGGTCCGACGATAATGTTTATGAGTTAGCTGTAGTAAGATGATTACGGAAGAAAATTAAGAGTGAATCAACTAAGAAATGACACCAATGCAAGATGTTAGTTATTCACTATAGGTCTGAAATATGTAGAAAAAAGTTGACTACCTGCGTGGTATCTATTACCTGTTACGAATCAACGTTAGAGACTACAAGTGGTACGGATGGAGGTCGATCATAATGGTCTAGATGTATTCACGTTGTTTTCCAAAATAAAAACCAACAAAATAACTCAATACTTTACAGATATTTTACTTCCCTGCTTATTTCCTCATTCTGGTTAGTGATAATACCTTTTTCGTTCCAGTTAATTTCTCGAAGTCAATGTGTTACAAGATGCCTTTTAAGTGCATCATAGTATAAAACTACAATCAAGTCAGTGTCTACTGCTCAACCGATAAAAAAAAAACACGAAACAGTCATTTAAAAACATACCGTATAGTGGACGGTTGAACATGAAGGTGAACGATAGCGTGTACAGGAAACTTTTCGAAAAATACTTCATTACCGGAATCAGATGAAACAGAATCTAAAACCCAAAAATACATACATTAAGTAAGTGGGAACCAATCTCCCTTTGCAGGATCATGACAGCAAAGTTCAGCTCAAAAGAAAGGAAAGTCACAATCATTCAATGCTACGCTACGCACCTACAAATAATGTAGATCAAGAGAAGAAGGAATTCTACAGACAACTGCAATCAACACTGGAGAAGACCCATCCCAGTTGGCGACATCGAATTTCTAATGGGTGACATGAATGCCAAACTGGGAGCGGATAACACAGGAAGAAAAGTAATCATGGGTAGAGAAGCACCCGGCGAAGCGATGAATGAGAATCGAAAACTGTTTGCAGGCTTCTGAGCCTTTGATGACTTAGTAATTGGAGTTAGTGTGTCAAACACAAGAATATTCACAAAGCAACATGGATTCGATTTCACCAGGTGGACACACCACACCAAAAATCAGATCGACTTCATTTCAGCGTGAAGAAAGTGGTGATGCAGTCTACTGGACACAAGAACACATCCAGAAGAGGAGCAGATGTGGGCTCACACCACTAACTATCGAGGACAACGAACCTCCTTTCAAAATCAAGTTGAAAGTCTTCATAGAACCTGGTGATGATACATCACAGTTGAAGTTGAACATCAAGAACAGAAACTGAAGGACGAAACTACAAAGGACATCTTCACATCAGTCATAAAGAAAAAATGGGAGACATTAGGCAACATCCCTGGGGAAACCTGCATGGAAGAACACTGGAACTCCTTGAAAGAGACGTGCAGAGAAACCTGCATAACCGTGTTAGGAAGGAAGAAGAAGCAAGATAAGGAATGGATCTCGATGGACACATGGAAGCTGATAGAGGAGGGAGAGGAAGATGGTGAAGCAGAAGATGATTCAGTGGAGTGCAGCTCAGAGACACTACACTGGACAAAGAAGTGTGCGTGGAAAGACAAAAAACACTTCTACGACACACTGGCAAGTGAAGCAGAACAGGCTGCAGGTAGGAGAGACAGAGACCTAACAACATTGTATCAAATAACCAGATTACTATCTGGGAAGAGATCAACGCAGGTGAAACCAATGGCAAGTAGTGAAGGAAACCTGGTTACCAAAGAGGAGAAACAAAGGAGACGATGGCCTGACCACTTCAAAAAACTCTTGAACCGACCACCACCACCACTACTACCTGCAACTCGTCCAGAAACACCACCAGCAACCGCATACTTACCAGTGAACACAAGCCCTCCGACAAAAGTCGAAGTCCTGAACGCCATCAAGTTGCTGAAATCCGGGAAAGCAGGAGGACCAGATGGAATTCCACCAGAAGCACTGAAAACAGACACAGAGACAACAGCTAACCTGCTGACACCACTACTGCTGAAGGTTTGCAACAAGCACCAACCGCCATGAACAGGGGCAACCTAAAGGATGTTGTCTCTTTCACCTACCTATCTACCTACCTACCTACCTAGGCAGTATCGTCTCAACTACAGGCAGCACAGGCACAGATGAGGACTTCAAAGTCAGCATCGGAAAGACACCAAGATAGGCCTTCCTGCATTAATCTGAAATCAGTGTGGACAGCTACTCCACTCCACTACACTGCACCGCACTGCACTGCACTCAGCGTAAAGCATGAACAAGATACAGATTTTCAACACTTATTCAGTCAAGTAAGTTAATGCTTCTGTGTGATGATTGAGAGACTTGGCGAGTTACGAAAAACATTTCCAACAAACTACAGACATTCATCAACAGCTGCCACCTACCCTCGATAATACTGAAGATCAGATGAATGGTCAGAATAATAAGAATAAGCAACAAGGAACTCTGAATGACCTCACAACGAACCAACGAGGCAAGAACCCATCGCCCAACAAATGTGCAGAAGAAGAGAGTGGAGATGGATTGGATTCGATTGGGTTGGGGATACACTGAGAAGACCATTTGTGGACATCACGTGCTAGGCTAGGCTCGGCCAGGTCAGGCCAGGTCGTCGAGTGGAACGGAACTGAGAAACGACGAGTTGGGTGTTGGAAGCGAGGGTGACATGGAGGAGATGGTGTGAGGAAGAAATGAAAGCTTGTGGGTAGTCGTGGAGTCAGGTTGAGAGGACCACAGGGAATGGAGTGAAATGGAGACGTGCTACTGAAACCCTATTTTCCACTAGGAACGCATCGGATGTATAATAATAATAATAGTGTAAGTTACACACGATAGATAAAAATCTAAGTAGAAGCTTCATAAGTACGAAGGTGGTCATCAATCGTATTTCCTTTCCAGATATGTTGAGAAGTGTGTTTAACAATGAACACAGTAAGCGTCTGTTCCGATTCGTAAGCGAAGAAGTTTGTTAGCAAGTGAAATTAGAACTGATAGTCAACTATCCCAGAAAAAGTCGGAATAAAAAATAAGGCACTGAACAACAGTTAGGATAGAGATACCTTAAACAAATCGGGAAATACGGTTGACGATAAATAAGTATTTCGTTAACCGACGTCAATATCCACCCCCGCCCCCTCTCCACGCCAACTGGCTAGCGAGTGCAGATGTTCAGTGAGGATGGTCTATTACTGCTACTCGTGTTAGTCAGTATTATCTAGTACACAGTTTTCAATTTCGTAAACTTGAAGCTGTTTATAGTATGAAACATATCCTGTACTGTGACTTAATTATTATTGTTTTCAATCCCGAAACTGAATCTTGACTAAGTAAGTATATTATTCTAGCCATGGACTGCAATTGGTAAGATTCCTTAACAATCCTTAACTTGTCAGATGCAATGATAAAACAAACAAATCGATGAAAAGCTAAGCTAATACATGATTGTTGAAAATGTTCAAGAAATAATTCAAACCTACCAGCTTCTGAATTCCAGTCAGCTACAAATGGCAAATTATCAATAGCTTGTTCTAGAAAATCAAGTAAAAATGGTTGCACAACAAGTTCCTGTTTTGAGAAACGAACAAATGAACACACATAAATCAACGATAATTAAAATAAATCTTGAAAATAAACAATGGATACCCAACTATGACAAAAACTTTGACTTTTTCAAAAGTATTACATCGATTATTGTATAGTCTTCGAAATAAAAGTTGTATCAGAAGTACTCAGTCTAAGGATAGAAAAGTTCATAATGAAAATGGTAAGGCCACAATATACGAGAGCGATTCGGATAACTACTTCTTCATTCAGTAACAATACAATTTATGATTACATTTTTAACTCGATAAAAAGATGTTCCCTTCTTCTATCTAGTTAATATCGAAATATTCTAAGACACCAAGAAATGGATGAGGTTATCGTAATAAAGAGTGATTCGAACAGTGTTGTGAATCACACTTCCTTTATATATTCTGCCATACTTCTCCAATATTTCATTTCTATTGAATGGATTACACAAAATTCAGTAACTGATTTTGCCCTTTCAACGCAATGTAATCTGAAAAACCTCATTTAGGGTAATTTACGTTTATAAAAACTTTTGAGAGTAAATGATCCTCTCATACTGTCTTAGTCTTTAAGGAGAAAAAAATTCTTTTGATAACCACAGAGAAATCAGTCAGATGAACGCAGTGTGAAAAGAAGTAAGTCGGTAGATTTGAATAGTAAATCTTTCTCATCTAAAGTGGTTGAGGCATGCTTTATACATACCTACCTAGTTACCGCATACTGTGATACGCAATGTAAGCTAAAGATGGATTAGGTTGTAAAAAGTTGAGAGTGCCCATACTAAAACTTTGCACCATTAAATGAACTCTATGGTTGAGTCCGAGCTGTATAGGTAAGCATAGGTTTGTTGCTTGTTCGTGTGACAACTGAAAAGTAGGTTAGAAATTCTAGATGATAGACCTTAGAGTCGATCAAAAATACGTAAAAGCATCCACAACTTAATCTTAACCACTATACCACATTTCTTTGTTTGAAATAACCTCTATATTTTTCGTCGTATGGTTTTCTATGGGTTTCATTTTATTTCCTTTTGAGTCGATGTACTAATGTAAAACGTGACGAGTGGGAACCCGTGCTGATACTAACTGTCTGATTCCAAATTGCGTACTTACAGGCTAACGAGAACTGACTATATTAGTTTGTATGAGAGACGTCAAGCATTTTATGATCGGTTCCGAAGAGAATGATGTTACACATGTGTTTCTAAGAATAGATACATCTAAGTCGGTACGGTTCAATCAGAGAATAAATACTTGAAGTTAGAATAGTATATTTGAGAACTTCATAAACAGTCTTCGTCAATAAGTTATAAAAACTGTATGATTGGATATAAAAGTGTAGGTAGTAAATACTAAACATATTAGTGATATCATGGATCTTACTTACCTTGGGCAACTTCTGCAAAAAACAAGAAACATATAAATCAGCTTGTTTTCTTATACTTCTTGGAGATGATATATTAAGCCTAGGCGTAGAATCGTCTTTATTTCCCGTACTCTGACTATTTCGAGGTTGACTGGGCGACCTAGTTGTGATAACGTTCGACGATAATGTTTGCAAGTTCGGAGCAAGTTCAGTAACGGAACGACTGGATTTGGAACACCGAAAGCACCGCTTCCGGGTAAAAAGTCCAGTTCAGTCATGGAATTGTAATGTAGCTGAAGTATGTAGTGAAATGAACAAAAAATCTTCACATCAGTAATATTTCAAAAAATTCATTTACAAAACTTACAGCTTATGAAATATGAAAGATTTAAAAGCAAAACCATGTTCAGTGATACCTGTAGATGTTTAACTCAGTATTCCCAAAGGAAGTGAACGGTGATTGATTGCGATAATATCATGACTATAATTACAGGAATGAAATACAACAGCTTACTGTACAAGTGAGTAGATAAGTTTTGAATGTTGATAAGTGCAGAAAAATGTGTTTGGTTGTGCAGAATGATTAGTATACGACAGTCAAAAATCTCAGTAAATCATGAAGTTTGAACCAAGTAGAGCAGGATTCAAATTTGTAACCTAATATTTTCAGCAAGATCCCCTATATTTGTTAAACTCAGTTACGGATCGTAACCAATAGGAATTCATTAAACATATAAAATCAACATAAACCTGGCACATAAGGGCATTGGTTTAAGCTGCTGCATTTAAAAGTGGCATTCAGTGAACAACTGGATAGAAAAACACTGGCGTCAATGTTGGCCAGAATGTATGGGAGAAGAAGCAATTTGAAGATTAGGTTTAGTGGGAATATTCAATTCAAGCTTGAGACTACGTCAAGGAATGAAAACATCTGCATCCTTGTGACCGATTTTTAGCCATGTCACCAAGAGTCCTCAACCACCGATTTCTATCGTCTCAGAAACCCCAGTAAATATAGTCTATATCAGTCTATACCGCTAAGATCAACTGTCGAAATTCGTTAACAAGGATACTGAAAAGGCAATTTCAATGAATTCAGTTCCTCTCAAGTTCAACACACCTTACTGGATATGCACTTCTAATGAGTGAATTCAGTTTTTCTAATAGGTTCGAAAAACAATATATTGTTGAAATGCAAAAAAAAAAGCCAGTTGATAACTTAATGATGATCAATACAAGGAACTCAGCGATTCCGAAGTCTTAAAGGACATTAGAAGATACGGTATTTCACTACTAACCTATTGTTTTCATGTGAAGAATAAAAAACTTGTTTATATGCTGAATATTCAACAAAATATGAATATGCGACACTTGAAAATGTAACCAGAAATGAAGATTTTTGACCGCACAATTAGCTAAGTTTTTCTTCTGACTATTTCAGTTATTCATTACACTACACAGATACGATCAAGAATTTCCAACTTTATATTTCAAAGAAAGGATGCGAATCTAAATTAAAAAGCAAGTGATCGAAAACTATTAGCTGATGTATTTAAGCCTACTTTTCGTAAATAAATGATCATATTATGTTCTGAGTTATATTTTTCTAGGAATTACTATTAGTTAAGCAGGTAGTTCATTGCAAATTGATAACAATAGATAGAGAAGACATAAACAGGTGAGAGGCGCTAAGGTAGGATGAAACTGGCAGAAGTAGGAAATATGGACCACTGCATTCAGATCCAGTGAATCAATGGCAACGTGCTGGCCATGGAAACTGAAGGCCCTGGGTTCCATCCTGGTGGGTGGTTCATGGGTGAGCACCGCTGAGGAGTCCCGTATTAAAACGAAACAGCCGTCCAGTGTGCCCAGGTTTCCAAAGTTTCTCCAACCAAAGTCAGTCCATGATGAATACCAACCTGAAATCAGTAAAATAAATAAGTCCCCACAAACCTCAAAATTGAAACAAAATTGTTTGAATCCTCTTGGTTTTCAAAGATTCGCCAAATGATTTCAGGGTTTCATACAAGCCATACACAGACATCTCCAATGCTTAAGTGAAAGCTAAATTTAAACAATTATTCGTTTTAATAAGCTCTACTGCAAGTAATACATTCAAAAACGAATGATTAGTTACATATTGGTTCGGTGAAAACATCCACGACTACTGTAGCATCAAGTGATAGGAGTTTGAATATTTAAGGCAGGATTAATTTTATGAAGGTCGTAGGTAAGCTTTGTTGCCGAGTTTGAAGAAGCATGAAACCGGGGTTTAGAATATCCTGTTAATTTCGTTGAAATACATGACATAAATATATATTTTGTATATGTAAACTTTAAATATGACTGTTCATGCTGAATGAACATCCCATATAAAATGTGGTTACGAATATCTATAACGAATCATATGTAGAATTAAAGCTGTTGATTTTATAGACAGTAACCGATGTGATATAAAGATATAAAAAAATTATAGTTCGTGCATACAAATTCATCAATCTTTAAGTACACTAAACGGGCGAAGATGTTCATATTCATTTCTTTTGATCCGATGAAAATTTGACGTTTTGGTAAGCTGCTAAAACTGACTAGCTAGTGATAATGATCCTCGCTAAAATCATATAGGTTAACAGCGAATTGTTTACACTCTTGTCTAATCTACACTGGAGTATGCATGCATCAAAGGAAATTAGTTTGACACACTAACTGCTGATTAAAGTAATATGTAGAGCGAGATATGTTAAGTTCCCATTACTGATCTTTAAACAAATGCAGAAACTTAGGTAATATACCCATTAGAACAATTATTTCTAATAATCTGTTCTTGTAAAACGTCATAGCTTTATAAGCTGATAACTAACAACAATTACGAATGTAAAAAAATTACAAAGATACTTATCGGTAACTGCTTAAACTGAAACAATAAAATTTTCTTAAATTTCTAGAAAATATTTAGTACAAAAAAGACCAAAAATAAGTGATTATGATAATTCAAAGTTAACTATTTTAACCAGAAATTATTCTCAACATAAAATTCAACTTACACTGACATCTACAGCTGGAAGGTAAAATACGCTGATGTCATTTGAAACTATTTGTGAATCTTGTAATAACTGACGTCTATAACGCTCTAAATAACCAGGAAGTAAATCACTGTATGAAAACCTATAACCAGACTCTATGTGATTTGTTGCACATGCACCAATTGTCTGAAAACGAGAATCTGGAGATAACAGTTTTACATTATCTGAGACACCAAATGGATTTATTCCAACTCCTGGAGAAAGCATAATAGCAGCACTTTGTTTAGCAGCATTATCATCAGGCATAAAGTGAGAAGAGAGACGAGGATGGAGTACACAACATCCGGAATCAACATGAATTTGAACATCTAGTTCTAATTGAAGTTTCGGTTCTTCTTGGGGAGTATTTGCAGCTACAGTGGAAACTGCCTGTTGGTCTGAAGATTGTTCTACTGACGGTCGAAACTGATTTCTTCGCGAAGATTATGCGATTTACGCGGTGGAGGCGTTGGTGGTCTAACATTTGATCTCAGATGATCCACATCAATTCCTACAGTTGGAATTGTACGCGTTGTATAAAGAGAATCTGCATTATCACTGTCAATGGTATTTTGTTCATCACGTCATGGTATAGTTCATCATCAACGTCGAGACTCCTGTTTGGATCACACCAATCATCTTATACGATGGAAGACAAACAAATACTTTTTACAAAGACTTCATATGGGAAAGTGAGATCACAAAATGTATGTAGACATCAAGAATATTATCAGAATTCAGTTAAAAATGCTCACCTTCACTGAAAGTTCTGTGGAATCAGTCATTAAGTATTGTAAATCATATCAAAACAGTAGGACTCCTACAGATAAATCCTTTAGACTTCAACATAATAAAGTGACAAATTCTCTTTATGAAAAATCAAACATTTAAACTAAGTGATTCGCTTTGTATTTATGAAGTATTTATTGTCAGTATATTGATTCATTCAACAAGAAAGAAAAGTTATGGTAGTTACACACTGCATAAAAAAGATCAAAATGCACACAGCAACCTTGTGCACCTATTGTGTGAGTGCTAATGATACTACCTGGCTGCTGAGATGTCGGTATACGAGTGGCGTTCGGACTCGTGACGCATAGATTGAAAGTCATCTCCCTAAACCAATGAACCAGAGATTCACCAAACTGCAGAACAATAATGCAATACCTACCACAGCAATCTACCAGCGTTCATATCGTTTTAGTGAATATCTTTTTTGTAGTTCATTGGAGGTGGAGAGCAGTGGAGTCCAGAACGTATATCCTGCCCTACTGAGGACTCATCCAGCTAGATGTACTTGCACCTCAATGAAAAATGATGTTCTTACTGAGACTCGCTTCAAACACCGAAACGTTATCCACTAGGCCACTGGCGTACGAGAACCACCTCTTGGGCAATGGGTATCAATAAATACAGATATTTCCTTTGTTCATGGATTGTTGCTTTCATCATCATCATCATCAATATCAACATAGGACCAGGCATTACTGTGTAACGGTCCAAGTTATCACAGCTCATATCAGTACATCAAGTAAAAACGCAGTGAGGTGCAAGATGAAGATAAGAAAATTCTGTCAAAAGGAATATAAAGTACTAAGGGAGAGAAAGGAAGAATAAGAAAATGGTCAGATTCGGTATAGCGTCGTTAAGATGAGGATAATGTGTGTATACATCTGCGCCACTGACATCGGTTCTGAGCCATATCATCTAGAAAGTCAATGAATATTTGACGAAGTATTAGTGGGGAAAAGTGCCGCGGAGGTCACTGATAGTTTATGTATGCTTCGCATGTATTTTTCGGTAAAATGACTCATATCTTACACATGAATAAACATTTCAAAATAGTAGCAAGTGGTGGGCTTTGAAAACACAAAATATACTAACATAAAACCAGTTAACAAGCCAGGTTACACAACATGTTTATGTATCAATTTGGATGACGCGGAAATATTTCTCCTTCTCTAAAGAAAGAGGGAAGATGAAATAATAGATGCCTCAAATTGATCGCTTTTATAGTACGATTGGTTGATACATCTCTGAAGAAACCTCAATTTCAATTCGTGTCTATTTTCTTAATCTATTAACAGTTGTAATTTCTATCGTTGACATCAACAAAGAGAGAGGTAAACTGAACCCTAATTAGGTCCAGTCCCACCAACTATCGACGACCATTAGGAAGATTTTATGTGATTAACCTTTGTTCACCATTTACGATTCGACAAATGGTTTCAAGTCAAAAGAAGGACAAATTACCAGGTTTCACCGATTCCATGTGTATTAGTCAATTTAAATGAACTTGTGAAGATAGTTGTATCAAACATACAACTAGACAAATCAACCTACGTATTACAGAATATCTGCTTTCGTGGATGAGCAAAGAAGATGAATCTATAGGAAGCTCTATTTCATCCTATTTGATTGATTATGACCACAGAATGGACAAAAAGAAAGTATGAAAGTAATTTATCGCATCCCGCTGAGCCTTTTTGATAGAGTTTGAATTCACCCTCTACACACAGCTGAAGCCACGGGAATTCGAATGAACAATTTGAAACTTTATATTGAAAAGAAACTTGTGCGGCCTTTATGTCTGTTTTGTTAAGGAAAGATAATCAATGATTTTACCTATGGATTTTGAAAATGCTCTTCTTCCACTTCGTATTTTTATTCTTGTCAATCCATACACACTCCTAATACATTCACATTTACACCTTCTGGATTAAGGCCTTTATTCTTCAGTATAATGTAGCCTTATTGTCCTTTTCTAGGCCTGTCTGCCTATAAACCTATTTACATTATAATGCCGTTCTCAACATTCACATTACCTCTCATACTACCAATATTTTGGTTATTCTAAACTCCAAAATTCGTATAAATAAATATCATTGTGACAAGAATTTTGAAATATAGGGTCTATATCCAATAAATTAACACACACACATACACACACAAAATATGTGACAGATTTACTAACAATATTGCACCGTATGCAATGCAAAAGAGATAGTTTAGCCAAATACTACCAAGTCCCATGAAGATAAATAAAAATGAAAAAGTTTGAATATACACAAGTAAATGTGATGACTACTTACCACTATATTCATCAAAATATCGATTGTTGTTGTGTTGACTGACGGCATCGGATTTCATCTCAGCGTTTTTCACCATCTTAGGGGAAGAAATGTTCTTTGCTACAGTATTATACGGAATAATATCTTCTGCATCAAAATACACGGAATCAATTTTGGTGATATAATTTGGAGAAATACTTGGTACATTGCTAAACCTTCGTAATGGGATATCACTAGATCTTTGAGTTCGACTTGGAGGAAAATCTTCTGTGACAGACGATGATGAACGTACGCATGTATTGAATAATTTTCTATCAGTTGGTATTGACTGACAACCAGGAGATTGTGTGTTAGCAAGGTTGTATTCATTGACGCATTGATCAGTGGATGATGAATTCGTAGCGCGTAATACCACACCTCGAGACTAAGACAAGATGAGTAAAATCAAATTTATAGATAGTGATACTTGCAAAAAAAATTAGCGTACATTAGAGACAGGTTTATTTCTGAGATAGTTTTATTGGTGTACCTCAACAAAACAACTAGAAGAGATCAGTACAATTCAACATTTATTCTCTATTTATCTCAAACACCCTTCAACCTGTATCAAGTTCATAGAGTTTCATGAAATGGTTCTTCTGATGTTTCTCTATCGAAAGTGTAGTAAAAAATTTAATCCAGTTAGAAGGAAATATATATAGAATTTTGAGGTAAATATTGAAGATGGATACAGGTAATCAGTACTAGTAACACAATCCAAGGAACCACTAGCATACACTCAGTCTCTGAGTACTAAAAACACACTTCTGAAATATAGCGGTAAAATGAATTTCAGATATTTTCACAAATTTTATATTTTCCTTAATTTCTGCAAAAAAAAATCCTGTCTTATTCATTCACACTTTTGACATTTCTAGACACATCTGAAATCAGTCAGATGTTTATGCTAGTTACCTTCCTACGTTTTAGGCATAGTTTACATATATAAACACGCAAATATATTGATCTTAAGTAACTAAACTTGAAATTTTATTATCATCAACAAACAACTGAAGGGATAAATTCGATTTCAGGTTCATATTAATCATGAGCTGACATCCGTTGGAGAAACAATGGAAGCCTGGGAGCATTGGACAGCTGTCCCGTCCTAGTATGGGACTCCTAGGCAGTGCACGCCTATGACCCCCCAGGGATCGAGTCAGACTTCAGATCCTGTGGAAAGCACGTTGCCATTAATGCGCTGGGTTGGAATCCGATGATCCACTTCTGTCAGTTCACGATATAGCACGGCCTCTATCCAATGCCATCGTTGAGAGAATACCTTCACGCCCCACAGGTCTCATTAGAACTGCCGTGGATGGACGTCACGCTATGTCGTGAACTGACAGAAGATGGAAATGTAGATCATTGGATCCCAAGCCAGTGGTTAATGGTGATGTAGTCGCCGCGATACCTGAAGGTACCGGGCTCGATCCCCGGCGGCGTCGTCATCCGAGCACACTGCTGAAAAGTTTCATACTACGATGAAACACCTACCCACTGCTCCCGATTTTCTAACAGTTCTCCAACTGATGTCGCTCAGTGATGAATAGTAACCTGAAATGATTAAATCAATCTTCAGTATTTTTAAATTTGTATATTACATCATGCATGATAAACTATGATTAGTGTCTATCTACTCAAGGAAACAAGAGATTACACACTAAGTTAAAAATAAAACTGAAGATGGACACCAAAAAGAGATTAATATAAAGATATGATTATAATTTCTAACTTCGATGTTCATCACTTAAGCAATTCAAATCAAGTTAGTATACAATGTATCCTGTTTGTTAACATGTAAATATGAACGAGATAAATCATATACCCAACCTTCTTCTTTCGAAGTGTATTCCATTTTTGACGCTTGAAAGCTTGTGCATCTGATAAATCCAATTTTTGTTTGTGGAATTCCATGCTCCGAAAATGAGAAGAATCTAGAGTATTTTTCACATCAGACTCTTTCGACCTAGAAAATAGAAATACATAGGAAGGATATCATATTGACAGAGACTCCTCAATCAAATTGTGAGAAATATGGGCTAGCCAAATGAATAAAACAATTTCACATGTAGCATTAAAACAATCTAAAGTGAAAAAGTTGTTGATGGTAAGAATTTTTTCAAGACATTGAGTATAACTAGAGTAAAACAATGG